AGAGAGACAGAAAGGGAGAGAGAGAGAGAGAGAGAGAGAGAGAGAGAGAGAGAGAGAGAGAGAGAGACAAGCACTTACTAGCGAAAGAGAGACAAAAAACAGAGAGAAAGACAGACAGGCAGACAGAGCAACAACCAGAGAAGAAGAGAAGACAAGCATTAATTATTATATTTTCTTTCCTTCGTTACAGTCGAAGAGCAGACAGTATATCTCCCCACAGAAGACATCGCCGTGACAGTCTGGGGAGTTGGGGGGCAGCAGCTGAGGAGGTAGAATAAAAGGAAGAAGCTGCGGTGTATAGGCAGCTTTATTTTTCTTTCTTTCTTCTCTTATGTTGATTGTCTCTCTTCTAGAACCGCCTGCCCCCTCTATGTCGCACACCATATCTGTAGTAAAGCCTGCTTTATCTAATATTTTATTTCTCTTTTCCTCTTCTTCTTCTGAGACCTCGTCAGGGCAGACATCTAATCGACGGGTGTCTCCTTCTGTCTCTGTCTCTAATTCTTTTCCTGTCGCTGTCTCTAATTCTTTTGTTGTCGCTCTCTCTAAATCTTTATCTCTTGCTGACTCTGTCTCTGTCTCTGTTGCTTTCTGTTTCTTTATCTCTATCTCTGCTTCTGAGTCTGTCTCTGCGTGTGTCTTTGTCTCTTTTTTGTCTCCTTTGCCTTTCTCTGCTCGTTCGTCTGCTGCTGTCTCTGTCTCTATTTGTTTGCTTCGATACTCTTTCTCTCCTGCAGGCTCTTTATCTCCTGCTGCTGTTGCTGCTGCTGCTGCTGCAGTTTGTTTTTGTTTGTCTCCTTCTTGAAGTCTGCTGTTTTGTTTGTTTTTCTTCTTTCTTGGTGGCAGCAAAGGAGGGAAGCTGTCGATATTTTGCGTATCTTCTGTAGCACTCAAGCTGCGGTGGTGATATTGAAAAGCTGCTGCTGCTGCTGCTGCTGCTGCAGCATCTTTGTCATTCCCCGTTGCTGCTGCTGCTGCTGCTGCTGCTGCACTGTCTCCACCCTCAGCTGCTGCTGCCGCCACAGCTTTTAAGTAAGAATACAAATCTTCTGTTTCTTTTTCTTCTCTCAATGAATTCGTGTTGCTCACAAGCCGCGGATATACGCGAACAGGCCCTGCCGCTGCAGCAACAGCAGCAGCAGCAGCAAGAGCAGCAGCATAGCAACAGTAACAGTAGCAGTATCAGTAGTAGCAGCAGCAGCGATAACAGCAGCAGTTCTTCAGCCGCTGCATTTGCGGCGGAGGAGTTTGTTGATGATTGTTGTTGCGGCTGCTGCTGGTTTGTTATACTGCTGCTGTTGGTTTGTCGTGCTGCTGCTGCTGCTGAGGTGTACGTACACCTCATTTGAAAGCGAACTCACCCAACGGTGCATCCATCTGCACAGACACCTGAAAGGCTGAGCCCTGAAGCACTTGAGGTGTATCGAAGCCAACTGTCAGTCGGTGCCCCTTCTCTCCCCATTTATGTGTAGAGTGCTAACAGCAGCAGCAAATGCAGCAGCAGCAAATGCAGCAGCAGCAAATGCAGCAGCAGGAGCATATTCATAGTTGTCAGCAATGTGCACCTTGCTCCTGCCGCTGATGCTGCTGCTGCTGGTGCTTGAACAGCTCTACACTTCAGCAAAACTAAAGACTGATACACAGCTGCAGCAAACCAGCAGCAGCAGCAGTGAAAGCAGCAGCTTTCGCTGCTGCTGCAGAAAAGAGTTCATGCCTATATATCTCTCTACCCCTGAATTCTGAAGGAGACAGCCATTTAAATGCGTAGCAGATGTAGTTGTTGTGTCCGTACAGCTATCTCTGTCTTTGTCTCTGTTGTTTTAAATTTTATATTTTTGCGTTGTTTAGATAGCAACAACTACTTCGGCAGTGTAGAGCCCTACCTGCACCCCAACTGGTTTCAGAGGCACCTCCACAGGGGCCTCTGTTGCTCTGTAGTTTGCTGCATCTGCTATTAGATGAGCAGCTATGGGGTGTACGTACAGCCAAAAGCATAGCAGAGTTAATAGCAGCCAAGGGAGGCGAGCAGAGGCTTTTCTGCTTTTTTTCGTTGTTTTCCCCATTGGAGCGTCTTCTCTGTCCTTTGTTTAAAGTAATTTTCAACAGATATTCTTCCTTTAGGTCTAAAGAGAAGAAGAAAGGCCGCAGTGCTAGAGAAGACAAAGACACCGTTAACGAAGCAAGCAGGAGCAGACATGACGGTCTTTGGGTGTACAGACACCTCGCGCCATAGCAGCAGGCGAAAAGGAAATGTCGTAGAGAACCAAATAAATTGCAATTACGATTTACTGAGGTGTATATACACCTGAATGCAGCGGGAAAAGGACAGCTGAGCCGCTGGCAGTAGTAGGAAGTAGGTGGGTGTAGTAGCTGTTGGGTTGGGGGAGTGAGGTAAGGAAAAGAGTTTTAAAAATCTATGGTGTGTGTTTATTATTAATTGATTTATATTTTATTTAAACGTTATTCATATATATATTAACAGAAGAGAAACAAACGCCTTCGAACGAAGCCTCTACTACCACTAGTAAGCTGTGCGCAGCAGCTTTACCGTTGGCTTTGCTGTACATTGTGCAGTAGAAGAGGGGCTGGTGGGTATATTTAGTGTTAATTGTTTGATGAATTTCATGAAATTTATATTCGTTTATCTCAATAAAGAGGCAAAACATCTTAGAGCTGCGGTCTGCAACGTCAGGTGTACAGACACCTCAGAATTAGATTCTGCGCGCATATCGTGCGCGGCGTTGTTCTGCGCATTTTTGTTTGTTGTTTTCTTTTCTTTTTTCTGTTTCATTCATCGGATTTAATACTTCAAATCATATTTTTTAAGAATACCTTTGCATGTTTTCTCTTCTCTTCCCTTATACTCCGGTCATTCGCCGCTGTCCACCCCTCCCTCATCGACATGAGCGGAAGGGTTGGGTCTTCTTGGCGTTCTTTTCTTGCTTTTTACCGGCTTCTAATATTCCTTTAAATTATTCAGAAACTCCTTAGACCCTCTCAGCCTCAATCTTAAGGACCTCCGCTGCGGTACTAGCAACAAGTTTCACTATACCGTTGGTTGTGTCTGCGGTGCTGTCTGCACGTTTCCTCGCCAACTAACGGGTGAGAACATGCTGCTGCTGCTGCTAATTCAGTCGCAGCAGCTGTAGCAGCTGTTGCTGCTGCTGCTGCTGAGTCATCTGCTGTTGGCTTGGCTTTCAGTAGCACGCTTGCGGGGAGTGTCCCGCTGCTGCTGCTTCTGCAGCAGCCACAGCATCTACTGTTGCTGCTGCTGCTGCTGGTGTTGCTAGCAGCGCTTTTAGAGTTATGATGAGGAGGTATCTGTTTCGCTCGAGTGTGGGTGCGCCTCTTGTGTTTTTTAGGCTGTCTCTATCCGGTTGTTTGTTTGATAGTAATCGCTCTTTTTTGCTTCTCTCTCAGCAATGACAGACAGCAAACCCCCTAAAGCCCGAGGTGCTGCATCAGGAGCAGGAGGGGCTTCTGGAGGTGCCTCTGCTGCTGGTGGTGGTAGTAGGCAATCTAGTGGAGGAGCCCCAGCCCCAGCGGCAGCAGCAGCAGCAGGAACAGCAGCAGCAGCAGCAGGAGGTTCTGCTGCTGGTGGAAGCTCTTTACCTCCTCCTTTAGCTGCGCCTGCTGGCAGCAACGTGGGCCATCGACTGGCCGACTTGGGGCGAAGCATTCTTTCTCGCTTTTCCTTTGTTCCCCAGACATCTCAGTTCGTAGATAAAGGGACGATGACCCCTCAGGAGTTTATCGATGCTGGAGACCTCCTCGTCTTTAAGTTTCCTACCTGGCAGTGGTCAGGCTTCACCCTTATTATCTAGGGTTTAGGGTTTAGGGTTTTGGGTTTTGGGGTGCGGGGTGCGGAGTGCGGGTTCGCTTGAGGCTTTTTAAACTCTTCTCATGTTAAGGGTTTAGGGCTTCCGGGTAGGGTTTAGGGTTTAGGGTTTAGGGAATGCCAGCTGGTAAGACGAGGAGTGTAGCTGCTGGTGCTGATATTGTTATTGCTGCTGCTTCTGCATTTAATATATTTGTGGGGTTTTGGGGTGTATGTACACCGCAGCGGTGCTGCAGCATTTATTTGTGGGGTTTGGGGGTGTATGTACACCGCAGGGAGCCCGCTGTCGGCAAACGGGTGAACAGTTGGCTTCCGCCAGATAAACAATTTCTCGTCACAAGAGGAGTAGCATGCCACAGAAGAGTGCGAGACATCGAGGCCTCCCTAAACGCCGAGGTTAGGGTTTAGGGTTTAGGGTTTAGGGTTTAGGTGGATGTTGAGTACTCGAGCTAGGGTTTAGGGTGTAGGCGACGCCTGTGGAGAAGCTCAAAGCACAGGATGTGTTTGTGTATACAAAGCGCACAGAGTTAATGAGGGTATCGCGTTTAGGTTTAGGGTTTAGGGTTTAGGGTTTAGGGTTTGCGCGCTGTAGGCCAGGGAAGACGCAGAGGGTTGGGTGCTGCCAATAGATGCAGACCCTGAGGAGCTTCACAGCGAACCAGCGGTTTCTTTGGGGGCTTCTACTGATAGACAGACCTCGAGGGAGGCTTCGACAGGTTAGGCAAGGGGCTTCTGCACACTAGGGGGTTAGGGTTTAGGGTTTAGGGTTTAGGGTTTTCGGTTGAGGAGCTGGCTTGCCTGTAGGTGTAGACTCTAGACTTATGAGGGTCCATGGGCTGTGGTTTAGGGTTTATACACGGGGAATAGGATTGAGGGTTTGGAGTTTATGCGAAAGGCTTTAGGGTTCAGGGGGTTTAGGGTTTAGGGTTTAGGGTTTGTGGCTGTTTGCGCCTCAGGCGATGGCCTCTCTTTGCTTCCCGAAACAACAGTAAGGGTGGTGTGATGAGGGTTTGGAAGTGCTTGGGGTTTAGGGATTAGGGTTTAGGGTTTAGGGTTTAGGGTTTGATGCTGAGGGTTTGTGGTTGCAGGGAGGCGCCTTACCCGACTTGAAGAACCTGCGGGACCTGGATAGTCTCCTGTGCGAGGCGCGTCTGAACCCTAAACCCTAAACCCTCATTTTGATACCCTGCGTCTTTTAAACCTTAAACACTAGAGCCAAGAGACTCAGTCAGAGAAGGGTTTGTTTTTTTGGAAGAGAGAAGAGTGTGATTTCAGGGCTAGGGTTTAGGGTTTAGGGTTTAGGGTTTAGGGTTTTTGGTTGCAGGATGACCCGGCGTGTGCGGAGTCTTCAACGTCGTACTTTGTTCGCCAGGCGCCCGATGCTGGTAAGAGATTGAAAGCTTTGTTTTACAGGGTTTAGGGGTTAGGGTTTAGGGTTTAGGGTTTAGGGTTTGCGAGTGTGGTGCAGATGTGCTGAGTGTGCGAACGTATGACCTGAGCATTACGTACGACAAGTACTTCCAGACGCCTCGGCTTTGGCTGTTTGGTTATAACGAGGTGGGGAGGGTTTAGGGTTTAGGGTTTAGGGAGGCGGTGGCTAGATGGAGGCAAAGTGAACAGCGGAGATAAATAAACAACGAGAGAAAGAAGAGACACAGGAAGAGACAAATTAAACAAACACAAAATAAAAAAAGCAAAGAGCGAGTTTATACAAAAAACAAACAGAGAAGAAGTCGTGGGGGTGAAGGAATAATAAAAAAGCAGAGAGGGCTCAAATGATGATAGAGAGAGAGCGAGAGAGACAACCCTAACATAAAACAACGTGAAAGAGCTATAAGAGAGATAAGAATAATAGATACGATGCACAAGATAGACGGAGAGAGAGGAGACAGAGAGAGAAGTAGACAGAGGTAGAGGCAAAAAAGAAAGATAAGGGAGAGAGCCCTTAGTAATTATGCAGGCTTCGCGTCTTGTAGCTCAGCCTGTCGCAGACGCGTCAGGGTTTAGGGTTTAGGGTTTAGGGTTTAGGGTTTGGCTCAGAGCGGCACCCCCTTGACCCCTGCGGAGATATTTGAAGACATCCTGACAGATTATGCGGCTAAGACGGTGACGGTGGACCCTCACCCCTGCACAGGAGTCCCCACAGCTTCAATTCACCCTTGCAAGTAAGGGCTTAGGGTTTAGGCTTTAGGGTTTAGGGTTTAGGGTTTATAGGTGGCGTTGGCGTTTGAGGCTGCAAGGCAGAGCTGAGGGTTTAGGGTTTAGGGGCGAGAGGTTACTGGAGACGGCGGGTATAGAGGGTTCAGGGTGTAGGGCCTAGGGTTTAGGGTTTTAGGGTTTAGGGTTTAGGGTTTGCGTTTAGGCACGCCCAAGTGATGAAGAAGGTTGTGGACCATTGGCGCTCTCAGGGCGTCGAGCCTCGGTGAGAGGATGAGGAGTTTGTTATTAGTTTTTTTTTGTTTTGTTTGGGTGTTGCTGTCTCTGTTTCTCTTGTTTTTATCTGTCTCTTCGTTTCCCTTGCCTTTCTTGTTGTTGGCGTCTACCAGAGTGGTTATGGGTTTAATTTAGAGATTAGGGTTTAGGGTTTAGGGTTTAGGGTTCCTTGTCTCTTTTCCTCCTTCTTGGGTGTGTCTTTTCGTTAACTGCATGCGCCTCTTTTAACTTTCTGTAGCGTTTGCATCTCGGGCTTCGTGGTGCTGCTGCTCCTCCTCTACCTGCTGCTGCTGCTGCTCCTCCTCCACCGGCTGCCGCTGCTGCTGTTGCTGCTGCTGCTGCTGTTTGTTTAGGCCTGATTTGGCGTTGATAGTTTTGCTGAAGTTCATCTCCAGCGTCGTCCCCACCATTGACTACGACTTCACGATGGACATAGACATGGGCCTCTGCGGCCCCCAAACAAACAAATCTAAATCCTAATCTCAAACAAAATGAGAATGTGCTTGCATGCACGCATGCATGCGTATTCTCTGCATGCATGCATGCATATTGTCTGCATGCATGTATGCGTGCATATTCTCTGCATGCATGCTTGCGTGCATGCATATTCTCTGCATGCATACATGCATGCGTATTCTCTGCATGCATGCATGCATAATGCATGCATGCATGCATGCTGCATTCCCTGTAAAGGATATGTTTTTATGTGGGGCGAAGTGCAAAGCCTTCGCGCTCCGTTTAAGCTGCTAGCAGGAACGGAAATATGTCTCTGCTCGCAGCTACTCTCTAGCCTACATATTATCAGAATATGGGGCCTTAGGGGGGCCCCATGGGGGCCTCAGGTAGACCCTGTGGGGGCCCAAAGGGGGCCTATGGGGGCTTCAAGGGGGCCTTAGGGGGGGGCCCCATGGGCCCCTCAGTGGGGCCCCGGGGGGGGCCTCAGGTGGACTCTATGGGGACCCTAAGGAGGCCAATGAGCGCTTCAGAGGGGCCCAATGGGGGCCTCAGGGAGGCCCTGTGGGGCCTATGAGGGCTTCAGGGGGGCCCAATGGGGGCTCCAGGGGGCCCAAGGGGGGGCCCCTCTTTATTCGGGGGAGGCTTCAATGCCCAAGGGGCCCCCGTAGATTAAGGGGCCCCTATGGGGGTTGATAACGCCCTTGTAATTTCTGTGCGTTGATGTAGCGAAGTAAACAGGGGAGAGGAAGGACAGAGGGTGATTGTGTTGGCTTGTAATATTTTTTTGCAGTTTATTCTTCACCTCTGTTTGCTAAACAAACAAAACGAATTAATTATATTACCGCTGGAGGGAGGCTCTCATGAACTGTGCATGCATTCTTTACTTTTTCTTGTATGTCTTCTTTTCTCTGTCTATTTGTCTACTTTAATTACACTTAACTGCCTCATCCTTCGCACTTCGCCTCGCTCTCAACTAGCAGGCCCATTAGCGAAGTTAACCAATTCAAATGAATAATATATTAATCTCAACTACACTAATATATATACATATGCATACATATGCATAAATACATATATACATGCATATATATATGCATATACATATATATATATATATGCATGTATATATTATCCCTCGTAATAATGCGTACAACGAGCAATTATGTAGCTGGACTCCTCTTCTCTTTGCTAGTTATCTGTATTAACTAATACTGCGTTGTTTAGAGACATTTAAACCCCCTTAACTCAGCTAGTGGTGCGTGTTCATACACCTGAAGGTGTGCAGGTGTATATACACCGCAAAATCAGCAAAGACACCACGGTTGTGGGTCTGGAGTTCCTTAAAAGAAGACGGAAGACAGAGGCCTTCTTGAGGGGAGTTAATAGAAAGACAGCAGCAGCAACCCTGCCTTTTGCTCGCAATACACTGCAGCACAACTCCATAAAGACGGCAGCAAGGCTACGCCAATCTCCGTAGAAGGCACTAAGACTTCACCCTCTTCTGAAATAACAACAACCCCACCACTTGCTACTGCTTAAGCGCAGCAACACCTGGGATGTTGTCTGACTGAAGCCTCCGTTGGCGAAGCACCCCCCCTGTCTTCTTAATGCTGCAACTGCAGCTGCGCTGCATCCATGCAGAGCAACTTCGCTGCTATCCCTCAGCAAACCAATAGGCAACCGCCCCGCTGACGGGATGCCACCAAGGCGGAGGGGCAGCAGCAGCTGCAGCAGCAGCAGCAGCTGCTGCTGCAGGAGTAGCAGCACCTCGCGAGTGCGACGGTCCGAATAGTTGCTGCTGCAATAGCAGCAGCAACTATTCGGCGCTTATTTTCTGCAGCTTAAATGCAATTATTACTTATTTAATTCATTTATCTTCTGCTGCTCTTGTGAGTAGCAGCAGCAGCAGGGGCTGCACTGGGCACCTCCTCCGTCTCCACTCGCGTAGCCTTCTCTCTGCGGCGGCTGGGCGCTGTCTCCTCAAGCGCTGGTGGAGCTTCAGGCCTAATAAAACACCAGAACAAAACCCTAAACCCTAAACCCTAAACCCTCTGCAGCCTCTAATGAACAAGCGGCTCATGCACGTCACAGCCAGAGCCAGATAGGAACCCATGAGGCCCCCAGACAAATAAAAGATGCAGACACAGACACATAAAACAAGCCATGCAAATCTGCATGCAAGTGCATGCAAATAATATGATTCTTGTTGAAGACCTCCGGCGAAATATGAGTATATAAGCTGTCCATACACCGCAAACAAAGACAACAACGACTCAAACGCCAACAGCACACACTGCTACGAACGTAGCTGGAGGCTGTTTCCGTCTCAGTACAATGTTTATCAATTACTAAAGCATGCAAAATGATGTATTATTGCTAATAATGTGTTCACTGCTCTCCTTTGGTCAGAGAAAAACAGAGCTACATACCGCAGGCTCAACATCAAGACGGCGATGGTAAACAGAAGGATGTGCGTCAAATTCACATCGAAGGTCCTCTGAAGCAGCAACAGCAGCAGCAGCAGCAGAAACAACATCAAAAACGATATCCCAGAGCAATGCAGACAACTGCTGCTCAGCCACCCTACGACCTGTTTCACTACTACACTGTCCATACAAGCCGCAGCTGCGGCATGTTAGGCGCATCAGCAGCCTTCAAACATCGCTCGGCATTTGAATGAAGACTGCAGCCAAAGTTGTAATAACCCCACAGCGCGTTATGGAAAGGTATGATGAGCATTTACTTCGTCAACAAGTACTTCTGCGTGCGCCCAACCTTGAACCTCAAGCGTCGCCGCCGCAACCCTCAAACCCCCAACCTGAAAACCCTAAACCCTAGAGCCTACCTTGAAGGGGAATAGCTTCTGGAGGATGAAGCCGACGCGCCACGAGCTGAACCGCTGGTCCTGTGCGACATTCCACAGTTCCCCGAACATGTACAGAGAGAGAGCAGAGACTAGCATGGCAAAGAGGCCGAGAATAGCGGCTGAAACGCACGCACAGCCATCAGGAGGAACAGCGCAACAGCTGCCTAGACACCTGAAAAATGCCGTCTTCAAGGTCCGTTCGCATGCCCGTCTGGCGTCGTTTGCTTCAGTGTAGGAACTAATCTACACACCCATTTGTTTTGATCTTTCATTCACTAAGTTCGAATTCTCACCGTCTAAAAAGCGGGACGGCTGCACAGAGGACCCCATTTTCGCAGAAACCCCAAGCAATCGCGGAGTTTGGCTGTCACCTCTATCGCGAGAAAACGAGTGGAAATGAGGCGGAAAGCGCCAAGGAAGGCCTGAATAAATAGGAATAAATGGTTTAAACAATGATTTTTATTGGTTTTCTCGCCGTATTCCGCCTGTCTCAGGTTCATTTCAGGTGCTTTTCCTGTCAGCAAACTGCACATGCACAACAGCCGTCGGAACCGCTCTGCTATGCAGGCTGCAGGGCTTCTTCCCACCTCACCACCCCCAGCCCGAGGTCTACTACAACCCTCCGTTGTAGAGGGGCCCCCGTCAGCAGCCTCTTGTTGACTGTCTGTTTGCCTGATTTGAAACTTCCTGCAAATTGAATAAGAATACACAGGAACATCTTCCCTGCTCCGCATGCACTTCTAGTGAAGACTCAAGCAGGCGGGCGGCGTCGGGTAGGGGAGGAAGAGGGGGCCCCTGCAGGTGTCTCGCGATAGTCTCGATGCCCGTATGCATTTCTTATTCAACGTAATGCTTTAATTGTTTAGCGCAAATGATGAAGAGCGGCTTGAGGGGCCCCCGGACTCCCCCCTTTTTGATTTCAGAGGCAGCCTGGATTTCCACCGCAGCCACACGAGGGACCTGCTGCAGTTTGCCACTTTATTCATTCTTCTTGCGTATTTAATTGTTTCATTTTGAGTCTTTTTAGGCTTGCACGACTCTCTTAGACGCACGCGGTCGCCATTAACTGGCGGCTGGGCGGAACCCAGCAAAATGCCGTTCGCCGCAAAAGCAGCAGCAACGGCAGCAGCGGCAGCAGCAGCAACAGCAGTTTCTTCTGCCGTTCAAGGGCCCCTATCCACTTCACCCCACAAAACAGCCAATGACTCCGAGCAGCAGCCTCAACGAGGCGGCAGCAACGGGGGGCCCCCAGAGCCGCATGAGGGGGGGCCTCCTGGGGAGAAGGGGGCCCCTACTGTGAGCGGCTTCTCCTTTGCTTCTCCTTCAGCGAATTCAGCAAAAGAGAATGAAGATAGTCAAAGAGAGTCCGAAAACAACGGCTCCGCAAGAAAGCCGCAGCAGCGAAAGCGTTTTGTTCCTGCGGCTATTGCAGCCCAGAGCAGCTTAGGCTCTGCACGCCTCGCCTTTGCTGCACCCGCAGCAGCAGCAGTAGTAGCAGGTGCAGCAGGCACAGGTTCGGGTGCAGCAGCAAGTGCTGCAGCAGGAGCAGGAGCTGACGCTCGCAAGAGCGAATTTCAAAGGGCCCGAGAGTCCCTCCTAGCCGCAGGGGCCGTTCAGAAGCTGCAGGAAGTTGCTGCAGGCAAGGGCCCCATAAACCCTAGCCGCCGCACGCCCCAGCCACAAGACATCTACACAGTACCCGTAACAGCAGCAGCAGCAGCAGCATTAGGATCAACTGCGCCTGTTTCCGCTGCAGCAACTGCAGCAACTCCAGCGGGAGCAGCCGCAGCTGCAGACCCTCCAGCAGCAGCAGCAAATCTTGCACCAGCAGCAGAGGCTGAAGCAGCAGCAGCAACACTGACAGAAGACAGGCGGGAGGAGACATCTGAATCTGCTTCGACGACGGTGGCGCCAAGGGGAGAGTTAGATGGCGGCTTCCTGCCTCACTACAGCCCCGGCAGCTATGCTACTCGCCGCCATTCATATTTACCCTCAACCTTTTCGTCTCCGTTGCTGCTGCTGTCTCCTAGAGCCTCTGCAGCAGGGGACACGGCAGCAGCAGCAGATGTTGCAGCAGATTCAAATGTACTGTCTCCGACCAGCAGCAGAAAGAAAAACCTCCTGAGTACTCCCGCAGAAGGCACACCTAATAAAGAGGGGCCCCTTGGTGCTATATGGGCTTCCGACACTGCTGCTGCTGCTGCAGCTGCTGCTGCAGCAGCAACGGAAAGGGCTGCAGAAAGTGCCATGCAGGACCCAACAGCAGCAGCAGCAACAGCAGCAGCGCCCGCTGCAGGAGTAACAGCACCTGGTACAGCAGCAGCAGCACCTTCTGCTGCTGCTCAAGCAGCAGCACGAGGAACAATAGGCGAGGAGCCGCGTATTCGCGGAGCCCCCAGCGAAAGAGAAGGTGCAGCAAGTAAGCGCCGCCGCATGGGCACCAGCGCTTCATCTACTGCTGCTGCTCCTGCTGCTGCTGCTGCTGCTCGTCGCTTTTGGCTCAGCTCTCAGCAGCACCGGAAGGAGCAGCAGCCGCAGCAGCAGCAAGAGCAGCGCCCAGCCCGAGTTGGCAGACAGCCTGTGGCTGTGTCTCCCCTTCCTGAAGGAGGTGTCCGCGCAGGTGGTTCTGCTGCTGTCAGTGCACCTGCAGAGGAGCCGCGGGGTGCAGCAGCAACAGGAGCAGCAGCTGCTGCAGCAACACGGGTTGCTGCGGCATCGCCTCTTGTCGCTGCTGCCTCTGGTCCTCCAAGAGCAGCCCGCAGCACCGGCCCACCACTAGGCCTGGGTAGCAACAGCAGCAGCAGCAGCAGCAGCTTTGACTTGCGTGCGCTGAGGGAGCAGTGCTACAGAGGGGATGGGGGGCCTCTGCTGCAGTCTGTTACCTCGTTGTCTTCTGGAACCCGCAGGAGCTCGCGACACCGCCGCAGCAAAAGCCCACTATTAAGTGCTGCAGCTGCTGCTGCTCCTGCTGCTCCGCCTGCTGCTGATGCTGCTGCTGCATCCCATGCAACAAAGGCTACAGAGACTTTGGCTGCCATGCCGGCTTCAGGAGATGAGCAGCAGCAGCGGCAGCAGCAACAGCAGCAGCGGCAATTGTCTCCGCGTTCACGCGCCCATCAGCAACTCTCCCCTCTGCTGGTGCACGGGCAACGACTGCAGCAGCAGCAAGAGCTGCGTTCGCCGTTGCTTCTGTACCAGCAGTTGCAGCAGCAGCAGCAGCAGCAGCCTGATGAAGAGCAGCAAAACAGGGAACAGGAGGGGCACATATCTGCTTTTGCTTCACAAGGGGCCCCTAAAGCCCCCTCAGAAGTTGCTGCAGTGTCTCCTCCTATTGCGGGTGCTGCTGCGTTTGCTGCTGCTGCTTCACGTGCACCCACTGCACTTGATCTGACGGGCGGGAACAAGGGGACGTCAACAGTCTCACACAGCAGCAGCAACAGCAGCAGCAGCAGCAACAGCCCTATCAGCACCTCTACGAACACAGGCATAGCGTCTGCCGCTGAACAACAGCGACGGCAGCAGCAGCAGCAGCAGCAGCAGCAGCAGCAGCAGCGTGCGTCCGGTTGGGCTGAAGCGCGCCTTGCACGACCCCGCCAGACACCTCAGGTCACAGCAGCAGCAGCATCAATAGCCGCAGCGTCAGCGCCAACAACAGCAGCAACAGCAGGACCAACACCAGCGGCGGCGACAGCACCAGTAGCAGCAGCACCAGCAGCAGAAACGCCAGCAGCAGCAGCAACACCAGCAGCAGCAACACCAGCAGAAGAAACGCCAACACCAGCAGGAGCAGCAGCACCAGCTGAAGCAACAGAGCGGGGTGCTGCCGAGCAGAGACCAACCGCAGCGGCACGAGAAGTAGCAGAAATCGGAACTGCTGCGGCTGCTGCTGCTGTTCCTGTTGCTACTCGTCTGCTGCTTCCCATTGCTGCTTCGCGAGAGTCTTCATCTGATGTCCCTCGAGCTCCACCCGCTTCTCCCTGCAGTAGGGGGCAGTCCCCAACGCGAGATGAGCACCATGAGCAGCAGCAGCAACAACAGCAACTGCAGCAGCAGAAGCAACAACAACGGTTGCAGCCGCCGCAGCAGCAGCACCGACCGCAGCTACAGCCGCTGCAGAAGCAGCAGCAACAGCGACTGGAGCTGCAGCAGCAGCAACAGCAGCGACACCAGGAGCCCTCAGGCGAAACGCAGCAAGAGATGTCCACTGAGCAGACAGCTGAGCTGCTGCTGGAGCATCGGCAGCAGGAAGCGTCGCAGCAGCAGGTGCAGCCGCAAGAAGGGCAGCTACAAGTGCAGCAGCAAATCCAGCAGCCGCAGCAGGAACAGCAGCAAGAGGAAGAGCAGAAACGAGGCCAGCAGCAACAGCACCGCAAGCCACAAGACCACAGGCAACAAGAGCAACAGGAGCAGCAGCAAGGGTTGGCAGCTGAGACAACGCTTGCAGATGAACAGCAGCAGCAGCAGCAGCAACAGCAACAGCAACAGCAGCAGGTCTTGCTGCAGCAAGCAGCAGTAAACGGTTTGACACCTTCAGCAGAACCTAGAGGGAGGGACGGGTCCCCCAGCACATCTCCCTCTTCGCGTACAAGTCCGAGACAGAGCGACTTCAGTGCAGCAGCGGCCCCTCAGCCAGCTGCAGCACAGCAGCAACAGCAGCAACAGCAGCAACAGCACCAGCCACAGCAGCAACAGCAGCAGCTGCACCAGCCACAACCGCAACAGCAGCAGAATCACCAGCCACAGCAGCAACAGCGGCAGCAGCACCTGCAACTGGAACAGGCGCAGGAGCAACAGCAGCAGCAACAGCAGCCGGTTGTGGAAGAGGAGCAGCAGCAACAGCCACAGCAGCAGCCACAGCAGCAGGAGCTACAGCAACAAAAGCCACAGGAGGAGGAGCAGCAACAGCCACAGCCGCAGCAGCAGCAACAGCCGCAGCAACCGCAGCAGCAGCAGCAGCAGGCTGGGGGCACGGTTCTGGGATCGGCTTCTCCGCTGCGTGTCCCACTGAGGCCTTCCCGTCTCTTTTCTCCTGTCAGTGCAGAGGTAGCTGTAGAACTTCAACTGCCGCTGCTTGGTCAGCCCCCCAGCAGCAACAGCAGCAGCAGCAGCAACAGCAGCAGCAGCAGCAACAGCAGCAGCAGCAGCAACAGCAGCAGCAGCAGCAGCTACCGCCGCACGAGCAGCAATGCAACAACCGCAAACACCAACGCTGCCAACAGCAGCAGCAGCAGCAGCAGCAGAAGCTGCAACCTGCTCGCAGCCCCCACGGGTGTGCTGGATATGGAGAGGCAGCTTCAAGGAGGCGAACAAGAGGCTCGGATAGGCGAAGCGCAGCAACAGCAGCTTCCGCTGCACCAAGTGCATCAGCAACAGCAGGTACAGCAGCAGCAGTTACAGAAACAGCAGTTACAGCAGCAGCAGCTACAGCCGCTGCAGGCACCGCAGCAGCAAATACAGCCGGAGCAACAGCCACAGCAGCAGCAGTTACAGCAGCAGCAACAGCCACAACAGCAGCAGCAGCAACTGAATGCTGCTTCTTCAGTGCAGGTGAGGGGCCCCTCATCGAGCGCATGCATCTCTGCTGCACAGGAAGGCCTTGGGGGGCCTTGGGCCGATGCCGGCGAAGGCCCACGCCGCCTCCGCTCTTCCCCAGAGGCGCATGCTGCTGCAGAGGCAAACTTCCAGCAGCAGCTGATGCTGCACCAGCAGAGGCAGCAGCACCAGCATGAACAGCAGCAGCAGCAGCAGCAGCAGCAGCAACAGCAGCAGCAGCACCAACAGCATCGGGAAAGTGATGGCCCATTTTCCTTCCTTGGCCCGGTGGGTCCCTCGTCTCAGCGCAGCAGTCTGCCTCTTGAGGGGCCCCTTGGGGGCCCCTATGAGGCGGCCCTTAGGGGCCCCGTTGAGGGGCCTTCAAGGCGACCATCGGAGCACCCCATGCCTTCTCCTCGTGGCGAATGGGGCGCACTGCTGTCTTCTCCGTCGAGTAGTCCCTCTGAACTCATGCAGCAGCAGCTGCTGCTGCAGCAGCAGCAGCAAGAGCAGCAGCAACAGCAGCAGCAGCGGGTTAGTACATCTTCGGATGTGCCTTCAGAAGGTCACCGTCTTTCAACTGCGAGCAGCTCCCGCAAGAGGTCGCGGCGTAGCTCTGCTCTTCACAGCAGCAGCAGCAGCAACAGCAGCAGTAGCAGCAGCAGCAGCAGCAGCAGCAGCAGTCCGTGGTCTAGGGTTGCTGCAGCGGTAGCGCACAAGGGCCGGCGAGCTGCTTCTGCTGGCTGGCGTCGTCTGTATTCTGCTGCTCGTGAAAGGCTTTCTCGTTTATCTACTAAGGCATGCCGTCTTGCTGATTCTGTTGCTGTCTCTGCTCTGCTCTCTGCTGTGGGGCCCCTCAACCCCCAACTCCTGGAGGCCCTCTCGCGCCTGCTGCCCCCCGCATTCACAAAACTCCCTGACTTCGCGAGAGAAACGGTCGGCCCCACGACGTGCAGAAACGCAGATATAAATGCATTTATATATTTAATAAATGTATATATATACATATGTTTCTAGATAAATATGTATACATAAGCCATACCGCATATCAGTATAAATGTAAACACAGGTGTATATATATATACATATATATATATATATATATGAACGTAAGCCCACTTAAGTATTGAATATAATCACATTTAAATTTAAATATTAACACCGAAGTCTATCAACTAAAACATCCATCAGGGTTTAGGGTTTAGGGTTTAGTGTTTCGAGGTTTGTTTGCTGCAGCTGGGTGCCTGTGAAGTCCGCCGGAGCGATCCCTGCAGCATCATTTCCAGACGAATCCTCGCGGGAAGACCGTCAGTGGAGGAGGCTCAGGTCCGCTGCTGCTGCTTTTGCTGCTGCTGCTGCTGCTGTTGCTCCTCCTGCCAGCGCAGCGGTTGGTATTCGCAGAAAGGGGGCCAGAATGTGGGAGGTTCTAGGGTTTAAGGGTTTAGGGTTTAGGGTTTGTGATGGTGCAGGAGGCGCTGCGGGATATCGCAGCTGCGGAGTGCCGCGGGGATGTGGGAAGTGTTGAGTGGACAATTGTGCAGCTAGCAGCTCCGAGTGAGTTGAAGGATTAGGGTTTAGGATTTAGGGTTTAGGATCAAGGGTTTAGGGTTTAGAACCTTTCATGTGTTTCTGGAGGGCTATTAGGGGCCCCCGTGTCTAGTTATTATCCCTGTTGCAGCAGCCTTCCTGAGTTGCGCTCGCCTTTTGCTATTTCTGCTGCTGTTTCTGCTGCTCTCTCTGCAGCTATCATCTACGGCCTCGACGTACTGACAGTACAAGAGGCAGCTTCTCCGGATTCGCAAGGGGCTTCTTCAAGGACCCCAGGGGGTCCCCGGGGGCCCCCTTTTTTTGTGGAGGGTTTGCGCGCCAAACCCGCAGTAGACGGCAGCCTTGAGCTCAGCGAGGCGGAGAGTGAGTAGGGGAAGGGAAGGATTGAGTAGGGGGCGGCAGGCTATTTGGGGTGTATGTACACCTGAAGAGATAGCAACGAGTCCTCCTAGTTGTTATTTTGTCTTAGGCTGCAAACACATCCATCCTTGCCTGACGCTGTATGGTTGAGGATGGTAGTTCATGCAGGCTTCCCTCACGCCTGTGCGGCTCCACAACAGTTGCCGCTGCTGCTGCTGCTGCTGGTAAATGTATGTGCTGCAGCTCCGGGTTGGGTGACGGTGTTGGGTTGCGAGGACCGTTTGCGAGGACACCACAATTATTTTTCAGTGGATGTTGGGGGCCTCGCATTGACTCATCTGAGGCTGGGGGTGCGGCGTTTTGGGGGGCATCCGAACGACAGTTCTGGCGCTGGTTATAGCTGCTACGATGCCTGTGCCCGTACAGCAGTGCTGCGCCTTCGGGTGTATGGACAGCTCGCCCTGGGGAACCCGCCAAGCTCCCCAGAAGAACATTTGAAAACGGATGCCGAGCAGCAGGAACAGGAGCAGCAGCAGGAGTGGCACTCGAGAGGGCTGCAGGAGCTGACGAGTTTGCTTCAAGGAGCGGCCGTTATTTCAGGGCCGCAGTCAGGTGTATGGGCATCTCAATCGCGGCAAGAGCTGCTGATGATGAGAAATGCACAGGGAGCAGATACTAGATGGTGGGTGTGTGTTTGCTAGAGCTGCTGCGGCAGGTGCAGCAGCGGCAGCAGCAGCAGCAACTTATGGCCTTGGGAATAGCCGCTGAATCGCGAAGCAGCCAGCATTTTGTCTTCAGCACTTTGCTGTTGCTTCTGAATCGTTTGCTTCTTAGTCACCTGAACAGTTTTGTGTTTGTTGGAGGGACTTTGTTTCATTTATTTTCTTTTGTGTCTGCTGTTGTTTGCGTGCTTGCAGGAGCCGCAGCAGCCGCAGCAGCTGCAGCAGCCGGGGTGGCTGCAGCAGCCGCAGCAGCAGCAGCAGTGCGTATGCTGCTCTGGGTCTGGACAGAGAGGAAGTCGAGTCTGGCAAAGCTGCGGGGGCCCCTGAAGTTTGGATTGTGCGGCTAAGTGCGCGGAGTTACCTGAAATACGCTGAAGTGCGGCGGTCCTGTCTACAAGACAACACAACCGAAGACGAAACCCTCACCACCTACGAAATACAGTGTACAGACGCGCCAGACGGGGTCCGCCTCCTCTTGGGTTTAGGGTTTTGGGGAGTTTAGCCGATAGTATGGGTCGCGAGGGTTGTGAGGCTGCTGAGAATTTTAGGCTTGGGGTTTAGGGTTTACTGGGGTCTAGGGTTTGCCGGGTTTCAATGTTTGTCAGGGTTTGGGGTTTGTTGGGGTTTAGAATTTACCGGGGCTTAGCGGTTGGAAGGGCTCATGGTTGGATGTTTGGTGTTTATGCCTAAAAGCTTTGGGTTTAGCGTTTAGGGTTTAGGGTTTAGGGTTTAGCGGCCCTTGCGCGGCTGCTTTTCTCTGGAGTTCTCTCTGTCTGGGTTGGTGCGTAAGGATTCGTATGTTCCTGTGTTTGCTGCATTTGTTTAATTACGTTTTCTCTGTTGCTTTTTCGTTTAGTTGCTGCGACTGTCGCTGCCAGAAGAGATAAAGGAAGGCGATGCGTTTAAAAGTCTTCTTTGGCGGCCTTTAGCGACTGCAGCATTTGCCCCCGATCAACATGAAGCGAGCCTGGAGGTATGCCGAATGCATTTTTTGTATTTTACTTCCTCTGCATTGCTTCTTTTTTAGGGTTTAGGGTTTAGGGTTTAGGGTTTGCTTCTTGCTTTCCTTGTTGTTGTGTTTCTGGAGTGGCTGCCTCTGTCGTTTGATTGGGGGTGTATGTACAGCTTCCAGAAGGACTCGCAACCGATACACAGGAGGAAGGGGCCCCAACAGCAGCAACGCATGTGCGTATTATCTGCTCTCGCGGAGGCGACTTGAGGGGCCTGGCTTTATGGGGATTTCCTGCATAGACAGTTTATGCTGTCGCGGGGGGTCGAGAGTTGTAAATGCTGCTTTTTTGTTTGGTTTTGACTTAAGAACGCTAGCGGCGTTGCCTAGTTATATATGAAATAGAAACAGAAATAGAAGCCCAAGTAGGTGTCTTAAGGTAAATGGCAGCAGAAGTATTGGCGAGATAACGTACGAATTGGTAGCAAAAGCAAGACGGTATTCCTGATAGCACAGATATCATGTCGCCTAGCATTTGCTGCTGCTGCGGCAGCGCGCGTTGTAATTTCTGCTGCTGCTCCGACTGGGGTACTACGGCTACTGCTGCGACTGCTGTTGCAAATGCTGCTGCTGGTGCAGCTGTCGTTACTTCTGCTGGTTATGCGACTGTTGTTGCTACTCGTGCTGCTGCTGCACCTGGTGTTGTAGTTGAAGCTGCTGCTTGTTTCTCCTGCTTGTGTTTTCGTTGCTTCTCTCCTCCGCCGCTGCCAGTGCGGGCGTGTCATTGCTATTACTGGGAATGGCGAGTGGCCCAAGTAACAGCAACGGAGTGCATGTTACCAGCTGCATCGAAGGCAGCACGTTTGTTTCCCGCTTTTGTTCTGGCAACAACGGCGCTCAAGATCGTGGTGTATGTACACCTCCATTGAGTTGTCCAATTATGCTGAAGCCCCCTAACTGTAGAAGTTGAGAGCCACAGAGGAAACACAGAAGATAGAGACCCGTTCGCTCTCTGCACGTCATGTGCAAGAGGTGGGGGCTTAGAGAGTGCAGTGTGTAGCTGTCTCTCGATCTTGGCAAGAACGGGGCAATATTGGCCTGAATATTCTGCAGTAGGCATCTTCGGCCGGGGAACAGATACTGTTTCATGCATGCATCTAGTTGCTGCTTCAAATGCGAGAGCTGAGCGGGGCCCTACCTGCGGCAGTACCCACGTCTTCGTGGTTGAAGGGACGGGCCCCTGTCTTGTTTTTCCGCGTTTCTCCTGTGAAACGCTTGTTATTGAACTACAAAAGTACGGCTTCTGTAACTTAGCACATACAGTGCATTGTACCGAAGGCCTAGATTCTTCAGGAGTTGTGTTGCTCCCCAGTTGGATTGCGCGCTGTGTCTCGGTGTCTGTGCCTCCCACTGGAAGTGCTTTCCTCTCCCACTCCCTGTTATATTTGTGTAGTTTTGGCGAAAGCAGTAAAATGCACTTTTGGGTAGGCGAAGTGAAGTGCAAAGTGCTTGTGAACAGCAGCTTCCGTTTAGTTATTCCATAGTAATGTAGATGTGGGTGCATCAGGACGGCACAAAATGCTTTTAGTTGTTGGAAGCGTAGAAGCTAGAAAGCAAAACAACTATATATTCTTGTATTTTATCTAAGGCCAAACCCCCCCTTGCCATTGGAAAGAGAGGGGCGTACGAGTTCCCGGCTCGAAGCTGCAGGACGAGACTGCACGTTCAGACGGGACCAGACGACGAGTTGTTTGCGTAGTTTGCGAGGAAACGCAGGTCATATAAGGCATATTTTCCTATGGATATAATGCAATGTTTTTTGAAATGTTTAGTTCGTTTTAATTCGGTTCAACTCACCGCGTCGAGGAGAAAAAGATGACTTACGCTCAGCAGCAGCCACGGCAGCTTCGCTGTTGATGAAGTTGAACGGAGTGGTGGGTGGGTAGGGCTTTTCGATTGTATTTTCGTGTTAAGTGGATTTTTACTTCATAATGCATTAAATATGCATGCGCGCATTTCTGCTAATTGGGAATTCCGTCCCCTTTCCCCCGATCGTTGAATGAGCTTCCGGAAGCAACGCAGTCATCACGGACCTCCGTCTGTCGTGCTGAGGAGCGCCCCCTTGCGCAGCTGCGTTTGCGACGAGGGGAATTTCCGCTAATATTAGTTTTATCTACGAAGTAAGGAGAAGGGTTTTTGTCTATAACTCATTGGCCCTTGGGATTTTCCATTGGCGCCACCGTTCTGTGGCCCTGGGCTCATCGTGAAGTAGGACGTCGTTTCGTCGCGAGACACTTCAGAACTTGGACATATTTCTCCTCCCTTCTGTTAACAGGCTCGATTCAAGCGATTTTTGTCGAGTCGTGCAGCAGGAAGGCGTCGAGCCAGCAAGCAAATTGTACGCTAGACCACCGCCTACGCTGCGTTACAACACAACGCTGAACTAGCTTCTACGTTTGAACAGCTCCTCTTCCGGGATGCCTCCTTGAATTCCCGACTTTGTTGGCGGCTTGACGTTCCTTTGGCGGGGCTGCGTACCTCTTTTCTGCGTGTTCGAGATGAGGGCGTCGCAAGGAGGAGTCGCATGTGTTTTGCGTGAGAGAGAAAGTCTGCAGCAAACAACGCATAGGAACAGCATGAAGGGTCATTTAACTGGTCACCCTCAAATGCATGCAGGGCATACCAAGCTGTGGGGGTGCCAGGGCTTCCTCGATCATCCGGAATGCAACGTCGATCGCATCGCGAGGAGCTGCCGCTGTGGAGCTGCTGGAGCTACATCAACGCAGCTCCAGCCGCATCCTTCAGATGCCGCAGCAATAATAACAGCAGCAACAGGGGGTAATTGTGCTCGTCGGTACTTTGTAGGCCGCAGAACTGACGCGTCCTGTGCTCTCGCGACTTTGATTATAGCGCTTTGCTTTCTTTTTGTGGGCCCTCTGGAAGTGCTGGGCGTAGACGGCGGAACGAAGGTGAGGTAATTTAGCTGTCGTTTGAGCAACCCATTTGTTTCTATCCATTTTAGGTTCATTGCATGCAACGTGAAGGCGCTGTGGCGAGGAGGAGGAGGTCTACGTGTTGCCGCTTCCCGCTGCTCTTGTCTTGCTTTTTGCTTCCTCTTGTTGTCTTTCCGTACGGAGTTTTTGTGCACGTGCTTCATTCTTCAGTTGCTCTGTCTACCACTCTTCTACGCGTTGTTGGCTGTCGTTGCTTGAGGTGTGATACTTGCGTTCCTTTTTTCTTCCTGCTTCTGTCCAGTTGCGGTGTCCGTCAGTTTGTGCTAGCTCTTCTGCCCATTTTGGCAGCGTGTGTGCTTTTGGTGTAAGTGTAACAGTTCGGGAGATAATTTTGGACTTCTGCTTCTTTTCTGTCTGTATACTCATTCGTGCAGCGGCTAACAGGGGATTACCAGTCGGGGCCTTGGTTTGACTTTGCGGACGACTTTTTCTCCCAAGTTCCAGTGGAGTCTCTGCCTCAAGAACTCCCCACGAACAACGAAGTGGGGAAGCCTGTGCCTGTTATGAGTAAGGCTTGCAAAGCAGTCAAAGCACAGTTGCACACGAATGGCCTCATGAGCCGCGTGCAGGATGAAGTGCAGGAACAGCTTATGGAGGCGCGGCTGCGGCTGCTGTTGTTTCTGATGCTTCTGGTCCTGCTGTTGTAGCTCATTTCACGTAGGGGGGGACAGTAGTGACAGCATATAGCTTAGAAGACAGACGCATGCGTGCAAGTAGCAGAATAAACGGACCTGTAGGGCTCTTTCGGGTCCGATTGCATATGTTATGAATTGGTGTGCGCATGTGTATAGTGCTGGTTTTCGACTCTCAAGTGCCGAGTTACCACTGAGTGAATTTAATTTCTAACGTTGAGCCATTTGTTCTTTCCAGTTGGTGTGCTTGGGGGGTCGCTAGAAGACGGTGGAGGTGTTCGTGTTCATGTTTGCTGCAGCTGCTCCGCACGAGCTGAGTGCAACCCTGGCAATATTATATGCTTCTTACTGCCGACGACTGAAGACAGATCAGGTGTGGCGCCGTCAGTTTCTGATTTTGCTTCTGACTGCGTTATATTGGCCCATGTACACCCGAAGCAAACATTGGGATCCGCCCTTGACCTCGAATTTCTTCAAAGTCGTCCTTGCGAAGTCCGTCGCGCTTAGCGAACTCGACGACACGAACCAGAAGATTGCGAGGTTTGTCAGGAGGGCAAAGGAGTGCGGCTTCCAGGGAATCATTGAAGAGGATGTAAGCACAGGCAGCAGTCCGCTTTGGGAGGCAGGGGGGTGATAAGTGAGGTGGAGGAAGTTTCGTGTCATGGCTTGCACAAGAGTGGGTATGTTCGTTTGCGCCTGGTTTGGTGAGGGATCGTTTCACCACCTCTCCTTTTGTCGTAACCGACTTTAGAGGAACATGTGTGACGGTGGGATGGGGCCCAGCCTGCTCTTTTCTTTTGTCGTTACCCCGTAGCACGTGCAAGAGTCTGGTCTGTCGTCTAAAATACAAATGAGAACTGCTTTCCAACGTGGTTGCATGCGTTTGACGATGAACGGTATAGCTGCTGCTGTCGCTGCGTTTAAGGAGATTGGAGTCTGGTCTCATACTGGGATGTTGTGTATGTATTGGGACTTGTTTTTCAGCTGCCTAGGCTGGTCGAGGTGACGGACTACGAATCTTTCAACGCATTTGTAAAGAAAGAGAAAAAGGCGGACCCGCATTTGGCTGAAATGCTCAAGTTTATTCCCGACCTTAAGTGGAGTTTGGATGAGAGCATGACCACAATTGGTTACGTCTACCATCAGGTCTCGGAGCTGCATGTCCTTTACTCCTATTCGAGCGGTAAGCTGGGGGAGCGACGTTTTGTGCGCTTGGCTGTGTTACTGAAACAAGGGCTTGTTGGGGGTTCCTTATACCCTGCTGTATCTATAAACTCAGCATGTTGGTGTTGTTTGAACCAGAGCAACTGCAGCTTGGTCGTTTAATTGTTTGCCCATGCGCGCACTGTCAGCGTTGATGCATCTGTTTGTCCTCCCGCTGTGAACGTGGAGGAACCATCATTCGTAGACAAGAAGGCAAAATATTATGTTCTTGCACTTATCCGTTGTTCAGGCATCATGGGTTGTTTTGTTCTATGTGGGTTGCATTTGCAGTTCTGTCGATACCCAACTGGATGAGTATATGGCGGAGGAGTTTCCGGCAAGAACAGAGATCAGCGACAACTTCGGTGATGCTTCTTGCATTGACAAACACGCAAGTAACTGATCGGCCAATGGGGGGCATACTGATATTGAAGTTGAGTCGCTTGGTGGTGGAGGATCTGCTCGTGCAGCTGCGTGACAAGAGCGAAGATGACCCTTCCCTACAAGAACAGCTCGACAAGTTCGAGCTGGCGCTGAAGAAGTCTATCCTTGAAAGCGTGCGGCAAGTTCTCATTCGCATGGCGCTTCTAGTTGAATCAAATTGGCTTTGTTCCGAAGAACTCCTTCAAGCGCAGTTTCCAGATGTGCTCGTGACGGCGTACCGCGCGAGAGGCAGCGGAGGCCCCACGGCGGTGGTGGAGAGGGGGGAATTCGGGAGCGAAATTTCTGAAGGAGTGGTCACAGTCCTCAATCAAAACCTGAGCGCAAATGAGATGTACGTGCAGCTTAGTGTCGCCGATCCAATCACGGCGCAAAAGTCTGACACAGCTTTCATCTCCGCGTTGAAAGCGGCCAGCATGTTCAAACAGAGACTTGAGGATGACCCTTCTTTGCCAGGCGTGGGTTTGGCAGAAGTTGTATACTCGACCTTTAATGACCTTCAGTATGCAGAGATCGCAGTTGGGGGTAACTCAAGGTACGACCCAGACCTGCATTTGCTTATTCAAGTGCCGTCAGAGCACTTCAAAGATGCCTCTTCGTTTCACGACATGTTTATGGGAGCCATTCTTGTCCAGCCGCTTACATATTCCACACCCCGTCACGTTCGCTTGGATAGGGTTCGAGTCATGGGCTACGCAATGAAGGTTGGCTCAGCAAAACCAATTCGCATGGGCAAGTTCGGTAGTGGTTTGTCATACAACGAACAAGCCCTGATTGATCACCTGATTCAACGGTACGTATTGATTGTCCACGTTCTTGTTCTTGGCCTGCGTAACGACATCGGGAGAAGAGAATCTGAGGCTACAGCAGAGGAAATATATAAACGGTTCAAGAGTCGAACTCGAGGCACAATGAACGTCGTCTTCTTGGAGCCTGTAAAACCGCAAGAAGTGAGTATTGTGCCCAAGGGTGGCGATCGCATTCATCTGCCTGCGGGGGCAGAGGGTACTTTTGGTGGGCGGGCAAACGGCCATCAACAGAACCTAGCTGAGAAGAGGATGTGCTCGTGATATAGCGCACACCCGCCTCATTTGTCTAACTGTCTGTGCTCACTTCTCCGAACGTTTTCTTCAGTCCTTACTTGCATAACTGCACATTTATTGGTCATCCATTTTCATTTATCGCCTGCATTTGCGTTCGTTTTTGGTGGGGCTTGCAGGTTTCCGTAGCAGGAGAGTATGTCCAGCGAGAGGAGGGGTATCCCGGTTGGGTGATCGGCGTTGCCGTTGGCTCGGTAACGCTGTTCTTTTTAGGTTTGTTGGGATGTCTAGTTCTGCGTAAGCACGTGAGCATGCCTTGGTGGATAGACTGCTTCTGCAGTCCGTCCCCCCCTACATTCCAGTCGAAGCAAGAGATGGCGAGTGGTCCTCCTGGAGATTTCAGCAGGTCCTCATCATTCCGGCCATCGGTTGAGACAGGCGACAGCCCATATTTCGAATCAGATGAGGTAAAGCCGACCAAACGCATGGGGGCCCCCGTGCGGGGTGCCCCAACGGATGTGAACATCGGATGGGACTCTGGGAATCTTTCAACGCTGGAATTGGCGCGTTCAAAACGCTTGGAGTCGAAGCGGCAAGGGAAGGCGCAAGCAACTCATCTTAACTCTATCCCGGAGTTCATCGCTGAAGCCAAAATGCCCAATGGATGGGTTGCTTAGAGCTCTGGCAAGCCGCCGTACCATCGGCAAATCCGCCTGGAATGTTTGCACAAATGTCACTGCACCAACAATAACACTCAGGCAATCCAACGTCTAGACACGTACAGGAAAGTACACGGACTGGAGCGGACGGGGAAGGCGTGTCAGCTGGGCGAAAGGGAGGCAGCCGAGGTGGTGGGCAGCGGAGTGTGCGACATTCTCTCGGCTTGACTGGCCCGTCGAGTTCTGATAGTGGCTTGTGAACACCCCTGTTTTTTACTTTGCACGATCCATTCCATCTTTGCGTGCGTCACTCCTTGCAAAGGCTCTTGTAGTTTACAGGCGCATGCACCTCGCGAAAAGGTTTGCAGGCAGAGGCAGTTATCCACTGCAGTTCCGTGGAGGAAGCTGTTCTGCCCCTGTCTGCATCGCCTACTTCCATTGTTCTGTCGTTTGTGATCTGTTGCTCTGTGTTTACCGGTTCTTGGTAGCGCCTCTGGCTGTCGTTCTGACGTACACCACGATACTGGAGCAAGATGTGCTCCTTCGGCATCTTAAAGAGTGCAGCCGAGTAGTTGGGTGCGTAAGCGTGAGAGTGGCCATGTGATGTTGAGGCTTACTATGGTAAATGGATACAAAGAGATGCGTTCTGGTCTCTGATTTTGCGCCATTAAGAAGCTTCCTACTGAGCAGCCCGGTACCTGCATAATCAGTTTAAAACTCTTTATTGCAGGTTTCGCATGAGAAACCAACTCGGGTATTTTCTTCGGAGACCGGCGTGACAGTGCCGAACTCCTTTTATGTTGTCTTCTCTGTTTATTGTCAGCAAATTAAAGGCACGTTAGCTGGTCGCATTCAGCCTCGATATGCACTAGTCATCAGGCCCGTAGATTCAAACGCTGCGTTCGCGTTTTAAGAGCAGATGTGGTTAACTGAGGGGCTGCGGCTGCGCTTGCTTGCTTCCTTAGAGATGGGGAAGGAAGGATGCGGCCAGATACACAGGGCGGCCTCTGCCCATAGCAGGTAATCCACCATAAATAGCAAAGTGGGAGCCTCGCCAGGGAAATGCAGAAGCAAAGGGTACAAAATGCGTTAGAGAGCGTACGATTAAGTCGCACCAAGAACCTTTTTCTGGTGCGCGTACAGCTCTATGCTCACATACTGTTTGTACAATACTTGTATTTGAAACAATCGAATAAACATAGATGTGCATGCCCCCCATCAAACGCCGTTAAAGTTTGGTTCCCGAAGACAGTGCTTCATATGATTTGCGAGAGGCAAGGACTCGCTGGCGCCATGTAATATTATCGCGGTAGACAGCGCTCTGCACACAATGCGACGAAGGGTAAGTTAAGGTCATGAGGAAGTACTGTGCTGCATGCATCCACGCCTCCGCAGTATTGTGTGCTGTTCAGGCGTTTCCACCGTGCTGGGGAAAAGTGAACAAACTTGAGTTCCGTGCATCAGCCTAAGTGCGTGCACAAAGAGATCTGCGTACACAAGCGCAAGAGCCACAAACTCACCAGGGCTGCAACTTCAACAAGCCCTCCAAGCGCTCGCACCGCGATATCTGCAGCTTTTTCTGCAGTGCCCACGAGCTTATCGCACAGAAGCTTCCCCCTGCCGGCCCCTAATTCCGCGTCCTCCGAATTTCCAGCAGCGAAGCCGCTGTCAGCAAGGTCAGACTGCTCTCGCACGTCTTGGCCGCTGATGCCTGCTAAGGAAAAGGGCTGACTGCACAGAAAGAAAGAGCATAGAAAGTGTCTACGGAGCAATTACAGTGGAACTCTAAACGCTGCCGAGATAACCCCAATACCATAAAACGCTGCCGAAATAACCCCGATACCAGCATAAGTCGCTTTGGGGACTGATTTCATGAAAAAAATTAGGTGCGTCACTTCACCTGACTCTGCGTGTACACGGGCTGATCATGAAAGGTACAAAACCAAAACCAGCCAACGGGTGTTCTGCCTACAAGGCTGGGCACGAGCATGTATGTGCGCGCATGCTCTGAATACCTGTTCTCAGCAGCGCTTATGGCGTCGTTGCAAGACTCAACGATCGCTTCTAGCCGGCGAAGCTCGAGAGACCGGTTCTGAATGCAGAAAAAAACAGGTGCAGAGCGTGTGCTAAACAATGAGCTTGAGGATACACAGCAGTGCCCGCCGAGGCTGTTGCTGCTGTTCCCGCCGCATTTAGTGTGGTACCTCTGTATAAAAAAGAAGCTCTCCTCGGAAGAACAAGGCGTACCTGGTGAAGGCTTTGGCCCACAATAAGCTGTGGCCACGAAGCACTACGCATTCCCTCTAGCAGCCGTGCACTGATGGAGTTGGCGCACCAGTGGACACGCAGCTGGTAATACCTAGAACAGCAAAACACAAGCCCCAAATTTCCAACATATGAACCAATTTGGCCGTGAAGCTGTCTCACAATGAAGGGACTTGCAGATGACGCAGCTTCACCACTGAGCAAAACGGATGCACTTGTATTACGACGATGAGCGCTAGACGAAGAGTGTGCGAGATATGTGTTGTCTCTTGCAATGAAGTCAGCTTCTAGGCTCCATGCTAAGTCCACCTTCTTCCGTCGTATGCATGTTGTTGTTAGGCTTGTGGTGTCATGCATGGTTGGAGAATGGAACAGCAACGCCTGTCTGATTTCTCACTGCAGGCGATAAGCAAGTGAAATTCGTAATAGATGTCTGTGAGGAAGAGCCCTCACTGTTTCCAGTGGGCACCAAAGTCGTTCACTTTTTCCGCAGGCAACAGCTGCGAAGAAGCCGCCTCCGCATCTCCCTCATCTTCCCTCTTTGCCTCTCCAGGCATAAAAGTTCTGAACCCCCCCAACTGAAGACAGCGGCCGCAGAGATACAAATTCGAGAGCGTAGCAGTAGAATGGGTGAGATGCCAATCAAGAAGGGGTAGGTGAAAACTGCACCTAGCGGTGCGCTTTCTGTACTCGTTATCTGTTTGGCTCGCCATAAATCCCTATCCTCAGGGTTCCTGGGCGCAATCCCGGATATTGACATTACTGACAACGTGAAAGAGAAATTGCAATAAAAGGCGGACACGCACAGCAACCACGTGAACAAAGAGAAGAAAGTGTTGGGCAACAAACTGCAAGCATGCTAAGAATAAACGAACGCATGTAAAACAGGGCACAGAAACGCAGGAACCACTGGATGAGGGAAAGAGAACAAAGAGTCGCAACAAGCCGAGCAGGATATGAGAAGCCAGAGCATCCAATGAAGCCTTCGTATCAATAACATACATTGACGCAAACGAAACCAACCAAGTTCAAGAGCCCCTCACGGAAACCGTGCAGCAGCAGCTGCGAAACGGGAACAGAAAGAAAAGGCAAAAGAACTCTTCCCTGTGACCTTTCCAAACCTTTTTGGGATGTGAGTAAGTGAAAATTAAGCACCTCGATGGATCTGTTGCTTATCGTTCGAATTGGGTCAACCTGCGCATATATCAGAAAAATCCACTTGTGGTCGTTTGCATGTTTTGTTAGTGCAAATCAGCACTGAAGTCGCTGCACATCTTCCTCCACCACAGCATCTTGAGGTGTCCTCGTACTACTTCCACTCTAAATAATAGGGGCGAGTGCTCTCTGGCTCACAACAATTGCAAGAAAAGGATCCTGGTGCTGCTGCTGAAGCTGTTGGGTGCCAACGTCAATCCCTGAGAGCCAGCATCCGTAGTTAGGATGGGAGTGGTACCAACCAACTACCTTCTGTTGTACGGGTATTTTCTCTGCCGCCTCAAGAAATTGAATCATGAATTCATTTGCCTCTTCCGCTGCATTGACCCGCGTCTCTGTGCCCTCCACAGGCAACGCAAAACAGTCCGTCACAACAAAATACCCCCTATGGATTTCATGCTGGCCTTCCGCTTCCCTCTCTATCTCAGAAACTGAAGATACGCTTTCGTAATGTGTCGAGACGGTGGCTTCACCCAGAGACCCAGCGTCGGGAGTTTCGGGTGTCACGACAGCTTTGCCGAGCAATAGCCCCATGACTTCTATTTTGCCTCCCCTCTCTGCATGGGCCATCATTTTTGCCAGTGCCACATCTGAGATCCACACGTCAGTAAACGTCACAGGGCCCTGAACGCCAGAGCACTGTGGATTTAGACGCAGCCGCTGGTGATGCTGCTGCAGGGAATGCAGCAAGTGGCTATGTTCCTCTTCGTCGAAAGAATACAATGCATTGTCAACAGAAGAAATTGGGAGGCCCTCCATTTCCACAACACTCCGCAATCCGCAAATAGGGTCGAGTTTGTGCGGGGGAATCGAGAAAAACCGGAAGGTTCATGAATCCATTATTAATGGAGAGAAACAAGCCTATCAGCTTCCGTATATGAAAAAGCACATGCTGTAGGCTCTTGCTAAAGAGGTACGAGTGCCAGTATCATCGCGGTGCCATTCTCATTCGCAGTGAAGAAAACGTCAGCAGACAAGACGCGGTACAACTTATTCGAGCGGAGCCCAAGGGAGAAAAGGAAACTAAATGCAGCCGAGGCGACGCCGAATTAAAAGACACTCGTTTTTCGAGTTCGTTAGACTTGAGTCTACAGAAGGAAACCGAATTTTTGGCAGTCTTTGGTTGCTGTTCCTATTGGGCGACTAGTATCAGGGTGATAGCGAGGAGAGAAAGCGTGAAGGATTCCACAGGAGGAAAATTTTCGTATTTTTGCTCTTTTTGTAAGACATCTTCCCAACTTGGTGCGGAAAATGGAAGGAATCCAGAGCAGCCGGTGAGTGTGTCTGTGATCGCCAACTGCAAGGCAAACGCAGCGGTGTACTTAAATTCAACGAAATAAGGGACCAAATACAGAAATATGCGAAAATGTGGGTATGTTCAATCAACATCCATTAAATGTTCTCTGCATTTTAAACATTATGCTGCACTTCTGACGACGCTGGCGTGGACTCCTGCTAGTTGTGAGATCGGTAGAAAGCACGGAATTCTTACGAAAGAAGCATTTCTTCTTGTCAAAGTAAAGCTAACAGAGAGCCATACTCTGCTAACATGCGCCATAGGAGTCTTCAACATTAGGACCGTGGTGTTGTCGCAACAATTACCGTGTACGCAGCTCCCTACATGTATTTGACCCCGCTTCCTTTCTACAGGAGTCCAGAGTGCAGCTGCGCTGGGCCATTCTCCTGTTGGCAAGAGGAGGCGGACTGCCATGAGTTGTAACAATTCTTGCCCCAACCCCTGCCAAGTGGCAGCAACGAATGCAACACTGCCCTTCTGAGGCGTGAATGAATACCGAACTCAATTGTTAGATACATCCCATTAGAATTCAGGGCGCAATGTGCACACAAGTATGCATGCGCCTAGGTACCCCGTATAGACCCTCTTAAAGCGTGCCCCTTCAGGGCGGGTAGCGCTTGAAAGCGTAGGTTACGTCTCTTATATCCATATGCCCTCATGCTCCCCACCCATCTCGCCGTATCAGGTCTTCAACAGCTGCCAAATCCAGTGGCGAAATTCCCCCCTAGGGTTTATTCTCCAGTATGTGGGAGCTCTGGCATATGCACTATCAGCCCTTCGGTTTATCTATTCTCTTGCCTCTCTCTCTTCCACGGATTAACTAGACCGGCCAAAGATGTCATCATTCGCATCTGCTTAGGGGGCCAATTCTATTGCAGTGCAGTGCCAACTATCGTCTACTACGTGCATGCTAGTGGCTAGCGGTAGCTTTTTACACTACTACAGGCTCTTTGGTCTCCTTCCGGGGCGCCTTTTTGAAGCTGGTTATATTGCTGTCACTCCAAAAGAAGCCGCGTTTCACGTCAACGGCTTCGCCGTGCAGAGCCAGCCGCAAGGATTCCCCACGGCATGTGCCCCAGCGAAAGCCCCGACTGAGGGGGAGGAATAAGCCCCGCCATCAGCACCTGCTCTACGCTACCTATAAGGCCTGCAACTAAAGAGGCTGCTGTTCAGTTGCGGTTGCCTCCCATGTTGCCGCCGTGGCCGTGGATCCTGGCACGTGGGTTGGCCCTGATCCTGCGATTCTCCCGCGAGCGGACACGGACGACACTGGAGTGAAGGGCGCAGGAGACGCAGTATGAATGCTTGATGTACAACTTCGGCAGGTTGTAAGCTGTACACACACACACAAAACATAGCAAGAGAGAAGATAGCCGGTGCATACGATGAGATCTGCGTTTGTACCTTTCGCTACGGACACGCAACGTCCCGAGCCGCAAATAACCAAGAAGCCAGGGAAATCGTCGGCTGCCAAATATCAGATGAGCGCCTCTGTTCTTATGCAACTGCTAAACCAATCAGCAAAAGCCACGACGCAACGCTCCAGCGTTAAAGACATTGCAGAACCGAATCAATAAAAAAAGCTGGAAAACATCAGCAGGCAAGCATAACTGAGAGACGCTACAATTCAACAGTATCTGACAGGGTATTACGCAAGAGTGGCGCACAAGCAACTGGCAACAAAACACTAGAGAGCTGCCTGGCGTTCAGCAGAGAACGTGTAAGAACGCCAGGGGCGATGAGCAGGCTTTCCACTGTGCACGGATTAGAACTAAAGAACCGATTTTTACTAAATAAAATAGGAGAGCAGGACAGCAAGATACGAATGCAAATACTCTTGTGGGGGCTGTGCCGAATTCGTGGCGTCACGTACTATGGTATGCGGAGGCCTCCCTCAGATCTCTCAAGGAAGATGCATCCACTATATTGCGAACGTTAAAACGCTTAATTGCCTTGTCCTTTGGGCATGAACGGCCGCAGTTGCTGCACCTGACCGGATTGACATGGCCCCTGCCGTGTTTGGCGCGGCCGGCGTTCCTACGCTTCGTTGGCATCCTCTCCGCTGTCCCTTCACAATACCGATACCCCCGAGCGAAAAACTTACGGAATCAAGGCGGTAAGTGCTTATGATAATGTGTATCGAGAACCGCGCTTCAAAACCCACAGATTAGCATGCAGGCGGCGAGCAAAGGAGGGGTGCGGGTCAAGAACGGCTTCCATGTGGGGAGCAGCAGCCGAGAGCTTCCAAGGCACGGCAATGCATGCAAGGGCGATGTATTGTTCATGCTAAGGTTGACAAACAACGCATCGTGATGGGCACTTTAGCTGTCCGCCTTGTAATATTTTCTCTCCAAGATGCTAACCAGGACCAGAGGCGCGCAGCATCACTATTCACCGAACCTCTCTGCAGCTGGGCCTGTGGAGGGTCTCTAGAATGACTGCATGATGAGTAAATTAGATGGAATTGGATGCATTTTACCACATGAAAAACATGAAGGATGAAAATGCTTAGCTAACTTTTTGTTGGAGGAAATCAATGGGTAGGCGGTTTGCACTGAACGTGGAGTTTAGCTAACTCAACATCAAGCAGCCTATTATACACTACTGCCGCGGAGCGCAGGCCCAGCAGTAATTGATGTGTTGGATATCTCAAACGTAGTCAGGGAACCTGCAGGATATTGGGAGACAGCAAAGCTGTTATATGGTGCGGTACGAGTGCCCACGAGCTGATCCAAGGCGTGGCACGGTGTGAGTGTCCACTAGCTGATCCATGGACACCCGTGAGCCACAACCGAGCCAGTAGGAATAAGGAAAGAGTTCCTTAAATGCACCTGCCCATCTCTACAGTCCCCTCACGTCCTGGGCATAGTGGGCCAACGAGCTGTGGCAGGGAAAGACGAGGCGCCCTGACATGAGCTGCAACGCACCGCGTGGCAACTGATGCTGCAGGATACCTTCACGTGCATTCACAACCCAACCCCCTTTTGGTGTATTGACTAACACTGTAAACAACTGCTGTGCTTCTGCTTGTGAGGGCTGCTTATCCAAGTTCGTAGTTCATACACCAAATGCGAAAAGCCCATGCTGTCCCAGCTTTTCAGTACAAAATACGACAGGCCTTCGTGTTCTTGGTAGCCCCTGCTTTCCTGATTTCTTTTTCTCCTCCTCCTCGATCCAAATCCTCTTCAAATGGCACAAGTAGCTCTTCATGCAGTTGTCTCGCAGAGCCTGGGCCTCCACTATGGCTACCTGGTAGCAGTCCTACCGAACTCCCAGTTGATACGCCCGACAGAGTGCATGCATTTCTCCGTCACTTCTAGCAACGCTCCGCACTGTTTAAGCCTCCTCACTGTCTGCTTCTTGGGACACTGGCTCCACTCCACTTGCAGTGAAGGATGCCAAAGCTGTTAGGAGCGCTGGGCGGCACAAGTGCCTACTGCTTCCTTGCACTTGGGCATCAATACTGTTGCGTGGAGGCAGCATGTGCTCCCTCTATTAAGTCACATCCACCTTGCCTACGGTTACGTCGTGGCGAAGTCGTCCAGCACAAAGCTTGAGTATCATGGCAAGTAAGGCGCGCAAGGCCGCATTTTACGCCCACAGTTGTACGAATTCTCCAGTCCAGCCTGCCATCGGTGAAACGTAGCGGCAGGGACTGTGCAAGAGCGCAGGCAGGAATGTTGCACGTACTAGACGTATCTTCGACTATCAGATTCTCTTCGCAGCCTGTGACAAGTAGCTTCGCCAAGCCCTTACAGTTCGTACAAGCATGAGAATGCACAGAGTTGAACTGAGGCTGATCAGCATGTACAAATATCATTTGTTTCGGCTCCAGCATTGCTCTGCATGTTGTATGGGAGCCAGCACGTGCTGATTGGTTTGTTCCCCTGGCTGCGGTACACGAAACATGGTTTCCGCTGTTTCGTAGGGTCTTCTCCCATGAATATGCATTGCCGAGTCATGTTGCCTTCTCCGTTTCAACAGAAGAGGCTTCATGAGCAACACCAACTTTCTGAGAAGCAAACTCGTTGGTTGCCTTCCCTTCCTGTTTCTCCCTCTCTTCTGGGCAGGGCTGGCTTACCGAAACCCGGTACCCATGGCGTTCAAATATGAGCCACATAAAACCCCATTTTCTGCCTTCTCAGCGATGGTCCGACAGTATAGTGTCGCCTAGACCTGCTCCACGCCTTCTCCCTTCCCGCCGCCCAACCATTAGCGTACATCAGCTCTGCATCAGACAGCCCAAAAATGAATTATCGGCACAGAAGCTCTGTGCCCGCCATTACATTTGCATAAATCATGGGTTGATACTTATCGGTATAGGACTTTGTCGATATGCCCCTCCTGTTTAGGTTTCCTGTGTTCTACCATCGCCTGTTAACTTGCCGACTCTCACGTCGCAACGCCTGCCGGAAAGATTCCATAGTCCGGATGCGCCTCGGGAAATGCTACCCTTGTTTGGGTATAACCATTATTACCCTGCCTACCCTTCTAATAAAGAATATGCCAATATCAGCTATAGTTCTTCCGCTGCGTATTGGAGAAGAAAGCGCATCTCCAAAGGGGCGCGGAATTCGTCAACTGCCCCCGCAACGTGACCACCGTCATACGTGAACAGGAAAAAGGGATGGAGCACTCCTCCTGGATTTTTCCCGCTGTACATATTTTCGGCTGAGCGAGTTGCGGATACCCCGATGCGACCAGGCGCGCAGCCGTTGGTAGCCGTGCCTTTAAAGGCCAGACCCTATTCAGTCTCCATATATCGAGTGGCTGAATGGTTGAACTGCTCACAAATATTCTGGAGGGACTGCCTGAAGTTTGTTTTGCTCTTCCCGCATGGAGGCTTCGTAATTGGTCAAGGCTACAACGCACCAAACCGTCCAGCTGTAGGGCCTGGGTTCGCAACTGGCACCTATCCCTCTTTATCATGAGGCGGTACCAAGTCTCAATGAGAGTCTTAGATCGTATCTGACGGCTCTTGTAAGCTGCAGTAGACTCGAAAGGCCTAGGATAAAAGATCCGGTGCTGACGAAGTAGCTGGCCTGCCATTCAGCCTCCAGGCGTCCTGGGCATAGTGGCACACGGGCTTGAGACCGGTAGAGGGAGGATGCGACTTCGGCTGAGTTGCAACCCTCCTTGTTGCAACTCCTACTCCAAGGCAACCCCACATGCAAACGTACCCAAGCCCCCCCTCCCCCCCCCGCAGTGTGTGCAGGAACACTGAACATACAGAGTGGAAGGCGGCCCTACATAGCAAACCTACGCACAAATAGAAATAAATTTACGAGCTTAAGACAGAGTATTATCCAGCTAGACCATATGCGCTTAGCAGCTCAGAAAGGCAGCTAGTAACGTCTGCGTGCACGCAGAGGTGTGGGGGGGGAGCGGCAATTCGTCCTCGGTACAGAACTTAGATGTAGTCTGGCATAAAAGATTGTCAAGTGTTTCCGTAGCATATTTGAGAACCAGTGGAGGCTACGTAAACAGTTCACTTAGACCAGCCGATAGCTGAGCCTTGTGTGGGTGCCAAGCTGGGCCAGGCGCACTACAACCGCACCTGTAGCCCGCACACTGCTCGAGCAGTTAGGCGCATAGCGGAAGCAACCACGATGTGTATTGCCCTGGTGTGGGCCGTACATTTTGTCTGTGTGCAAAGGTTTACCGACTTATAGAGAAGTAAGCCATTTGATTTGCGCAATTGATCCTTGTAGGCCTCGTTTGTTCCGCAATAGGCGGGCGTTGTTCCCTGTTATGGCGTGGTCTTGCCCCCCTTTTTTGGGACTGAAGCGAGATGTTTTTTTTGTTTTGTACTGTGTTATTTGTTGCAGGTTCTAGCTTGTTGTGGTTTCTCTTCTCGCCAATCTAGAAAATGGCGAATCCCTCGCACTCCCAGGTCATCGCGGCCCCGGATAGCTCGGGTCGGCTGCTGCGTCTGGTCAGCGCAAGCTCGGTTATGATGCAGTTGTTGGGCAAGAGCACCAACATCCGCATGTCTCAGATCCTTGAACATCATGAAGATGAGGATTTCAGCGCACACCGCACGAAGATTGTGTGCACAATGGGTCCCAGCTGCTGGGATGTGGATAAGATGGTGCAGCTCATTGATGCAGGGATGAACGTGTGCCGTCTTAACTTCTCGCATGGAGATCACGAAGCCCATGGGCGCGTAGTCAAAAACCTGCAAGAAGCCCTGAAGCAGCGCCCTGGGAAGCGCGTTGCTTTGCTTCTGGACACGAAGGGGCCAGAGATCAGAACTGGCATGCTGGAGGTGAGTATATTTGGCCTGAAGTACGGCACCAGTGAAGGATAAGCAGAACAGATGTTGTGGACCTTTTCTACTTCTTTTTGTTGATTGGATATATCCTCAGGGCGATAAGCCAATCGAGCTCAACGCAGGAGACATGCTGAAGATCGTCACAGATTACAGCTTCATCGGAAACAAGAGCTGCATTGCTTGCTCCTATGACAAACTTCCCACTTCCGTCAAGCCAGGTGTGTGTTGTGCGCCCCCTACGCTTGGCCCAGTCCTTTGCGTTGTGGGATGCATGCATACATTGGACACCGGTTTGCCCCACATGGTAGTTTATTGTTATGCTGCTCGCTGTTCAGGCAACACCATTCTTATTGCTGATGGTTCGCTTTCTGTCGAAGTTGTTGAGTGTGGTAAGGACTATGTCATGACGAGGGTGATGAACCCAGCGGTAATCGGCAACAAAAAGAACATGAACCTTCCAGGTGTGAAGGTTGACTTGCCTGTAATTGGTGAAAAGGATAAAAATGATATCTTGAACTTCGGCATTCCCATGGGCTGCAACTTCATCGCCGCTTCCTTTGTCCAGTCCGCAGATGACGTGCGCTACATTCGCAGCATTCTTGGCAGCAAGGGACGCAACATCAAGATCATCCCCAAAATTGAGAACGTCGAGGGTTTGCTAAACTTCGACGAAATTCTGCAGGAGGCTGACGGTATTATGATTGCCAGAGGCGATCTAGGGATGGAAATTCCGCCTGAGAAGGTCTTCCTTGCCCAGAAGATGATGATTTCAAAGTGAGTGTCTGCATTTCAGGCTGGCTTCACGTGAATTATAGGATGACTGAGTTGCATCAAGCATGTAGACGCTTTGAGAGTTTGCGGCAATTCAAGAATTTTTAAGGACAGTTTTTCCGCGTGCTTCTCAGGTGCAACGTTGCTGGAAAGCCTGTCATCACGGCTACCCAGATGCTGGAGTCCATGACGAAGAACCCGCGCCCCACTCGTGCAGAGGCTGCAGATGTGGCAAATGCCGTTCTGGATGGTACGGATTGTGTTATGCTTTCTGGAGAGACAGCAAACGGAAGCTTCCCGGTGCAGGCGGTCACGGTCATGTCTCGTGTCTGCTTCGAGGCCGAAGGATGCATTGATTATCAGCAGGTCTTTAGAGCGACGTGCCAGGCAACCATGAGCCCCATTGATACCCAGGAGGCCGTCGCACGCGCTGCTGTTGAAACAGCCCAGTCTATCAACGCTTCCCTAATCCTTGCGCTTACCGAAACGGGCCGCACTGCCCGCCTCATCGCTAAGTACAGACCGATGCAGCCAATCTTGGCTCTTAGCGCTTCAGAAGAAACAATTAAGCACCTGCAAGTCAATAGGGGTGTGACCACACTCCTGGTCCCGTCTTTCCAGGGCACTGATCAGTTGATCAAGAATGCACTTTCTGCCGCCAAGGAGATGCAGCTGGTTAGCGAAGGCGACAGCATTGTTGCGGTGCATGGCATGAAGGAGGAGGTTGCCGGCTGGTCGAACCTGTTGAAGGTCCTCGTTGTTGAGTAGATGATCTGTCAGGTCTTCCCAGGTCATGCATCTGCCGGCAGCGTATCATGCAGATTTTCGGGCCTAATACAGGCGACCGCTTTTGCCAATGCTGCCTTTGGAAATGCCTGATAGTAACTTGAATGGCGCTACCATCTTTTCTCAACCTAATGATTTAAAACAGTTCTGCGTAGTTGGCGTTGTTTGACAGTGCCCGAAGTAGGCGGCTTGTTTCACTCCCGCCAGCTTATTGGCGTGTCGCCAGACTTTGTCACGAGTACTTAGGCTAGACAGCGACAATCGATGAAGAAAAGGCAAAAGCGAAGCATACGGTGCGGGAGGCACTGCAGTGGGTGCAGTGCTAACGCCTTTGCTTGTTAGATTTAGGTAGGAGTGCAGGGAAGTCCTGCTTCACGGAAGAACGGGTGAAGCGTGAGTAGGGCTATTGCCACCAGAGGTCTGCCCGTCGTATGCTGAACATGCCTCCGTGAAAGGGTTTGGACATCGGCAGAGGTCTGCCTTCGCCATCAGCGAGCGTAGTCCCTGAGAGCAGTGTACAAAGAAGCTTTTTTATCCCATGAAGCTAACCATACACCCTAAGTGCACATTGTTGATAACTAGGCCTTCCAAGAATAGTTACCTTAATATCCAACACTGTCTGTAGAGGGAAGGTCGATGAAAGTTCGTTGGCGAGTGCCGGCAGCAACACAGTACCGAAGATGTCGCAGAGAACAAAGAATTCTGCTTGGCAGGTTGTGTGGCCTCCTCGTCCGTCGCCCTCTTGAACTAAGTTGTGCTCAATTGCTTTTATCTCTTCGTCAAGGTTCTCACGCCCTCCCGGTTTCAAGGAAATCAGCTTGCGGATGCAGAAAGCCAGAAGACTTTCTGTCAAGGTGACAACACGTGCTGCTGCTGTGGATATGGGACACTCTTGAAATGCATTTGCTACTTCGAGTATGCTGTTGTATAGATTTGATAAGGGTGCATGCCGCAGCAGGAAGACGCAGCCGCGGTTGGGAGAGAGGCCTGACTGAAACCACGGCGAGGCCCCCAGCAACTTGAGATGACTAGTTACCGGCACGTAGTCATACTCGTCCATGCTCTGTAAGCAGTCACGGCAAGCAGCATCCATTATATATACTATGGGTTTTTGCCGCTTAAGCCGCGTTTAACATCGCCGCACTCTAAACGTCGCCTCTGAGATGATGGAGTATTGGTAACCTCACCCGTGCGAAGGCCGCAGCAATGGCTTCAAGTCTTTGACGATGCACTGCGACAACGTAGCGTTCAAATGTGATGGCCACCACGGGGAAGAAGTATGCATGCACTCGGCAGAATGCGGAAGCTGCATTGAATACTTGTCTGAATATTGTGGCTAAGTCCAATAATCCCACTGTGCATTTTGGGACAGATCGCAAGTTCGTCTGCGGGACGCCTGCCTCAGCAGCTGCAAGATCAAGCGAGGGCCTTATTCCCTTAAAATCATCCTCTGAATCGATTATGCCAGTGCGTTGCAGAAGCTCCTTTTCAGCAAGTTTCACAAACCAGTGCACCTGATCTGCTAGCCAAGCCGACAATCGTTCATCCGTCGAACCGAAAATCGCCCTGCAAGCACGCAATCCAATCCCTTCACGTGACCTAACTGTGCGTCTGATGGGGGACAGAGGAGTCGCACGCACAACGCCAACTTCAACCAGGCAAGCCTGCTGTCACGAATGGCCAGGAACAAGGGCTCACCGGTAGTTTATAGCTGTCTGCAAAACGTCCACCCGAAGCAGCTCTGATGCCGCGCACAAACCACTGAAAACAGAGGGCAAACACAATTGAAATTTCAGATATTCTGCAACGTCATACGCTTGTATGAAAGTTACTATTAGTATGAAAGTTGCTGTGATACTGTGGGGATGGCACCAGAGAAACGCCCGCATGGATTGCTCCATGTCAGCAATGCCGTGTAAAAAGCTGCCACCTACTGGCCTGGGTCTGCCTCGCACGACCCTTCTGCGTTGCGACGCAGACGACAAATCTCCGCGTCCCGCCGCCGCAGATATTGCATCCTCAGTTGCTCTTCAGAGCAGCTCAGGCGGCGAAGTGGGCTGTAGCAGCGCGACAGGTGAGCGACATACCACAAGAATTTCATGAAGTGAATGCTTCGAGGTTACAACAGTGTCCATGTGTTCAGTAGCCTAGTATGTTGCCACGCGCTAGGATAATAATACACGAGCCCGCGCACCCGATGAGTTTCATTGAAGAGGACAACTGCGCATGTTGCCCCAACTGCCGCAGCATTGTCTTCACGCAGCTGTTGCGGGCGTCCTTCATCTGGCAATACATAAGAAAGCACACAACTGCAATCAACTGTATTTCCACCTTAACAAGCAGCAAGGTGTCCAGGTCTGCAGCTAAACCAGCGCAGCACTAAAATGTATTACCTGCACTTCCAGGAAGTCAAGCAGAGGCATACCGCAACAACCGTTGGCTCGTAGGGAGGCGATACGCTGTGTAAAAACACAAGCACGAAAAGTTTCCGCTAGGAATCAGCCGTTATGCAAGCGGGAGGAAACGAAAAGAGAAAGCGCGCTAAGGGAATTTAGAACAGGAAATAACAATCAATACGCACTTCGTCTGCCAGCATCATAGCGTCCACTGCTTCATCGTACAGCCCTCCGCTGGAGCACTTCAGCACAAGCGACGGCAATTCAAGCAGCTGAAATCCACATGATAACGCAGCAATATTAGCATTCAAAAAGCGAGATCGCAAATTGACTCATCAATCATACTAGCAAATACGGTCGGATTATACTTGCTCTTGCGGTGCCTTAGTAAATGAAGAGCCATGAAACGTCAAACGTACCCCTGATACCGACGACTGCATTGAGGCGAGGATGTGTAGTGACGCTTCATGGCTCGACGCTTCGTTACTCTCAGCCCTAAATTGCTGCCAGGACAAAACATCAAGCCTCATGCAGTTGCCACAAAAACCTTTGTGCAGCCTACCCTACCGCCTTACAGACCGTATTGAATCGAACAATCACCTTGGCGCAAAGACTAATTCTCACCTTCAGACAACTGTGCAGCGGTTGAATGCACTGTTCCATTTCAGCTAGCGTCGCGGACAGAATGTTGATCTGAACACACACATCAGGGTTCAGAATATGCATTCACCAGCTCTTTGTGCGAACCTCTCTGCAAAAGCAACGCAGCTCGTGATATTGGTCTCTGCTTACACTGCTGCTGAGACTGCTTAGTGCCTTCGAGGAGGCAAGAAACAGCGAGCAGTTCTGCACCGCCAGTTCATCTTGAACGTTCACTAGCTTCTCCGCTTGCATATGTAGGAGAGCCTGCAACAACAAGCAAGATGCCTGTGTTCAGCTAGGCCAGATCTGTGGGCTGCATGCATCAGTCTCCTCTTATTTACAATCAACGTGCTTGGTCAGCGTTGCCTGATCAGTTGCAAGGTTGCATTACCGGCTGTCGGCAAAGATCATTGCTAGCCATCTGAAGAAACTCCTCAATCCCAAGCTTCTTAGCGCTGTCCACCTGAGTCTTCTTCTGAGGCTTAATCTTCTCGGAAAAAGCCGTCAAATGACTTCCTACACCTTGCAGTTCGTGCACGTCCGTTGGCTTAGACGCGTTCAGCTGCGTCACAACATCCCTTCTAAATCCTTGCTCACTATCCACTTGCGAGCAGGCTGATGGTTCCTCCCCCCCAAGGAGGAGCTGCCAAAATTGCTCTGATGGGGCCATTTCTACGCTTCAAAACACCACCCCTAGCGAAACCGGCTGCGCTTGCGTTCCAAGCACGACTTCTTGGAAGTTGAGTCACGGACACATAGGATGTTTCGTCCCTTCTAACTGCAGCCTAATTGGTATATCTCAGGATAAGCTGGGGCGCATTCGGAGGCACCTCAGCATGGGCGCTACCCCTGAAGAGGCGATGACGCAAAGTTCGGCATCCAGTCCGCGAAAAGCCACTACTGCTCTTCCATGCAGCAAGCCAGGGGAGTGACGAGGCTAGGGTTTGCCTCATGTGTTGGTGTATGGGACGGCAGTTCAACGCCCACTGTGTTGGCATTCCTATTTTGCCCACCGAGTTCAAGGGCGGTTTCCTCTAACTCTCCCCCATTACGAAGGGTCAGTAAAGCAGATTAAATGCACGCTCCATATGAAATAGTTGCAAAATGATGCGGAATTAAGCTGTGTTGCGTTTTGTGTCGTCGTTCAACTGGTGGATTGGGGCCCTTACTTGAAGGACGGGGGCCCCCAGCTGTGCAAATGCTTGCAACATTTCTCTTCCGATTGGATTCTATTGAGTAGGAACTCATATATATCAAGTTTTTGAAACTAATGAGAACAATATCGGTGGCGGGAAATACTAGACACCTCACGTTTTCCTCCCAACTTTCGGACGCACGACGATCGCCGACAACTGTGGGAAACCCGCCTTGAACTTTAGCTTACTACGTCAAAGGGAATCATCACAAAGCGCTAGCGTGATCTACGTCGTGGTATGAGCCCTCTTGTAGGGTTCCTGGGCAGCGAAGCTTTCCAGACGGCGGAACGCGGGAGAGGCACTCCATTCTTGGCTTTTAGCATGCTGAAACTGCAGGCACATCCCCAACTTTGCGGAGGGCCGCAGCGAGATAAACACTGCTAGGCAGTTGAAGTGTTAAACCCTTCGCGAGCGGCAGTGCTCGCTCCACTGGCCTCAGGAATCATGGCTTCAATTAAGGTCATGTGCAAGCGGAGTGCGTGGTATCACCGTTACAAATGTTCCAGCTTTACCAGTCAACTTCCAGCATTTGCTTGTAAACCCTTCCAGGAGGCTTCGATCTCCGAAACTGATGAATGTGCGGTGAGACTGGCTTTTTGCAGGACTGCTAGAGGGAATGGTCCGCCGAGTTGGCGGACCCGGAAACTACATCGCTATGGTTGTGGACGACACGACCCTCAATGTTTTGTCCTCTTGCTGCAGTGTATACGACGTGCTCAACGATGGGGTAACAAGTAAGCCCAGGCGACATATTTTTCGTCGCAGTGCGCAGACCGACAGCCTTATCGCGTCCGAAGCTGTCTTCAATTGGCATGACACCAGTAGAATCTATTTTCATCTTTTCACAGTAAAGGCTAGAATAATATGACTACATTTGTTTTGATGTACCTGTTGCGCAGTTGTAGAGCTGATTTCGAAACAGCGCCAGCCGTTACCTGAGCTGAATGCCTTGTACTTCCTATCACCCTCCGAAGATTCGGTGCGGGCGCTCGTACAAGACTTCAAAGACGAGAAGAAGCCTCAGTACCGCTCAGCTTATGTGTATTTCGCCGCACACATTCGTACGTCGTTTTTGATTGTCTCCATTCGAAAGCTTGCCGAAAATTCAGCACGGGCACACTCAACAGATTGTATAACGCAGTTGTCCCACCATTTGACACTCCTCTAGTATATCTAGATGCTAGTAGTAATCCTGTAATAGTTCCGATCACAAAAGTGATTGCGGCTGGGGATCAGAACTGCAGAGGAAGCTCATATTTGTTGGGCGCAGATGAGATGCCACTGTAGCAGCACCATCCCATCATGTGCTAGCCTCCCTTTCGGCACCATCCAGGTGCGACGTTAACAGGTAAAAAATATGCTGTGTCTCTGGCTCTCCGACAGCTGACTCCAGCAAGATCATGGCCACACTAGCGGACTCGCCAACCTTACTTCCCAGAATAAGGTGTCTTGTTGAATTGAACTTGAGTTTCATTGGTAGGCTAGCACGGCAAGATTGGCGGTTGCTGAGAGGCAGCGTCTCTGTTTCTCGCCCTGCATCCGTATTAGAGCTGTTTTCTTAGGTGGGGCCACTGACAGCTTCTGCCCCTGCGTTAGAGTGTGTACCGTACTGTTTGAAAATTCGCTTACTGCCCCTGTGCCACAGCATACGAACAGCGGGTTTTCCACTTCGGGATGCCGGATGCGTTACTTGACCTGTTCCCTCTTCCTTCACCACATTTGCTCCAGAAAGTAGCAAATGACGTAAGCTAGGGGGTTCTCGTTACTTTTTCGGAGGGATGTACTAAGGTGCGCATCTATCTCCAGCTGAGGCCAATGCAGACCATGCGTGCGACGAATGTAATGGCTCAGCTCGTCTCACTCTGCGTTACCATTGGGCAGAAGCCTGCAGTCCGCTACCACAAGAACCAATTGCCATGGTGCGAGCAGCTGGCGACGCTTGTTCACAAAGCGCTGGAGGCGGAGGAAATTCCGGTGCGCTCGTTCACAGTATTCCTGAAGATATCTGCCTACTCAAAAGGCGCGCATCTGGAGCAATCAGATGAATGCGCGGCAGCATATTTGTTTGCATTGTTGCCTTGCACAGCCGTCTAACCACCCAGGTACTACACTCCTTATCTTGGATCGCTCAGTGGACCTGGCGCCTCTCTTTATTCACGAATACACTTACCAGGTCTGGAGGCTGCACGTTACTTAGAACAAGTGAACTTTAACATTCTAGAGTTACAGCGCCATGTTGCTATTTTCTCCCTACTGAAGGGGGCAATAAGCGGCCTCTTCAAAGAATTTCGGCTTTGTATTTGAGCAGGCTCTGGCGTACGACGTTCTGGACCTTCCGGTTTGCTGTCGTATGCCGCCTCAGAAGGCTTCCCATGATACGCCAGTAGTCATGGAGGATGTCTATGAGTACGCAAGTAATGCATGCGTGATTGCGAGTAACTGCAGTGGGAGGGTAGTTGGTATTTTCAATTATCACGATACGTGCAACGCATCAGGACGCAGACTTGCAGCTGTTTTGCGATTCACCGCAGGTATGATGTGACAAACAACATGGGTTTGATTGAAAGGAAGAAGGTGAGCCGTTAAAGCTTTTGCATCGTGTGGTTTCTTACCAAGAACACATGAAACAGCTTATTTCAGCCATCTCCCCACACGGAATTGTGATCAGGCAATTCTTGGCGAACAAGACGAAGTGTGGGTTCGGTACCGTCATCAGCACGTTCAGGAAGTAAACCAAAGTGTCCAGGAGGAAGTTCAGCTCTTTCTAAAGGAAAACAGCACCGCCAAAGTGCAGCAAAATGTGGTAAGGCGTGGTGGTGACTCCCTGGCCACTCCTTGGATAATGCACAGCTAAACCACCTGGAGCGTGCCCTTCCCATGGAAATGCGTTTTGGGCCATCAATTTGTATGTTGTGCAGGCAACGACATCAGAGGACACCCTGCGGGCGATTCGCTCCCTTCCGCAGTACCAGGAGGCGCTCTCACGGGTAGGACTGTGCCCATCAAGAACATCTCGATAATTGCACCTTATTATTATTATTTGATCGTTGCTTTGCTTGCGGCGAATTTTTAGTATTGGACCCACGTCACGCTCAGTGAGAAGTGCTTTGATAAACTGCAAGAACTAAAGATAATGACTGTTGGAGCCGTGGAACAGGTATGGTCAAAGTCTGGTAAAACAAGGTTTGAAGGCCCATGGGGATTTTTCACAACCTTTGCGAGGCCGCACTTCAGGCATCAAATCAATCGCCTTTTCTAGCTAAAGTGCTGCTCAAAGTGCAGTGCCGTGTGTGGGACAGTGCGTAGTTTGTCGTCATTCCTTTCTTCCAGGATCTCTGCTGTGGCGTCGACAAAGATGGAAAGGAGATTAGCGCATCGAAACTGCAGGCAGCCGTTGGGTCACTTGTTTCTGATGACACTATTCAGTGCGTCTTCTTCCAAATAGGTGCACCTGCAACAGCTAGGAAGCCAGCGTGGAAGAGGTGAGAGAAAGCACCAAGCTCTTTAAAGTGCTGCAACAATTCTGGTGGGGTTCTACTTTTCAGGCCCGATGAGAAGCTTCGTCTACTCCTCCTGGAGTTTACACACATCCTTGGCTTGGATGCAGCGGATCGGACTAAGGTCAGTGCAGAGCAAAGCGGTTTCTTCGCACAGGGTGATGAATTGAACTTGAATAAATGCATTTTCAGTTTTCTGTCCCTGTTTCTCTGCAGGCAATGGAGACTGCACAGATGAGCCTAGTTAACCAACGTTGCATCCAAAGGTTCCTGGAACGTAGGTTGTTTCTGCCTCAACCCTGCTCGTGGTTGTTTGGGCAGACGCTGCGCAACCAAACACCTGCACGAATTGCGGATGTGACGCAGTTGAACTCCACTCAGCTTCCTTGTCACGCGAACAGGCTTCGGTACGCTGTGTGTGTAAGGGAAGACCAACCTGTTTTTCAGTAGAGCAGGATGTTCGTTGCTGTACTAGGTCAAGATAGTTGGTCCGCATGCTCTTCATTGGTTTCCCCATACTGATGTTGATCGAAAAATCATTAAACTTCAATTTTATACTACTTAGCACGGTGCCTGTTTGGTAACTTAATGCAGAAGTCCAAGCCTGTCCATCGATTTGAAGAAGACCGAGAGAAAATTCGGCACTTCAAGCACCGGGCGAAACGGGCCCGCTACGATCTGTCGAGGTTTGAACCTGCAGTCCGCGAGATCATGGAAGTGGGCAAAAGGAGGCACAAGACAGAACCTAGAGACGTGGAGGGCGTATTTTCGACTACACAGCTGGTATCTCAACCGTTCTGATGTGTTTTGAAACTCAGAAGGCAGTTGAAGGGACTCTGCATGGAGGTCGATTCCCTTTTGTTGATGAGCCATCGTGAGCCGCCTGAAATGCAGTACAGATGGAAATATCTGTTGACTTTTTCCCTCCAGCTTTATGATTTATTTGCATCGTATTTGTGTGCTGTACGGTTCGTGTACAGGAGAAGGATGGAAAACGAAGAACCAGTGCAGACGAAGCGAGGAAGTGTGTCTGGCCACTGTTGAGCTTAAACTTCTCGCGCCCTAGTTGTGGCATAGCTCCCATTTTATATTCCTAGCTTCGCACTTTGTTTTTTTTCTGCGCCTTCACTCAAGACAGCTCGTTTTATTCCGTTGCCTTCCTGGTGCTGCAGCTGCAGTCATTGGACGTTCGACGGAATGGGCGTGGGACTCCTCTGTCCCTGAGGTTGTTCAAAAGGTGAATTACTGCATATGACGAATGTCACTTTTGGTGCCTACCAGCTATCCAGCTTCCAGTCCGTGCGTCTATATGCTTGCGTTTTCTTACTGCAATATGCAGCCTCAGAGTTCTTCCCTAGTTTTGGACAAGTCCAAAAAGTGCCTAATCGTTTTTATTTTAGGGGGCATCGTGCAGTCTGAAATGCGATGCGCGTATGAAGTGTCAAAAGAACTAAACTGCGAGGTTTTCATCGGTGGGCGTTGTTTCCCCCCCTCCCCCTGCAATTCCGCGCCCTTAGTGTGCCATTCTAGTATAGGCTTCGTGCTAATGGTCGTGCTTGGTGCTGTTTTTGCCTTCACTGGTGATGCAGGTGGCACGAATATTCTCACACCCGGCCAAGTTTTGAAACAACTGAAGGAATAGACGCCGAATAGATTCGGAATTCCTTTGGTGTAACTGGCCTCTTTGTCTTCTATTTTGGTTTCCACACTTCCAAACGCCACTTTCTTAATTGCGCGCTTATTCGACGTGATTACAGGAACGGAGCTGACGGCTGTACATACCCAGCCCGTACAACCAACAAAATTTGTATTAGTTTAATTTCCTTCGAGCATTGGCCACACAGTGTTGCAAGTGCAAATCAGAGCCGCAGCATGTATCCGCGATGCCCTCAGATGACTTTTTGGAGAAGCAGTTGTGTCCATCGGCTGGGAGGTGCCGGAGAACAGAACCGGATCTAGACGCATAATATAAATGCATGGCATCCCCTGTGCGGCAGAGCGGGAAGGGCCCACATGGGCAACAGGGTCCCTACCACTTGCAGGTCTAGGTGCACACGGCATGGATTTTTCAGTAGTGGCTGCCATATGCACCGTCAGCTGATGGCAGTTCCAATTCCTGAAGCGTATGCTGAGCGTATGCTGGAAGTGTTCAATCCTTTTGGGTGCCGCTTGTCAGTGGAGCGCCTGACAGATTGGGTTGCCCGGACGGTAGAATAGCGTATCCAAAATTGATTTGCAGTCCCCAGCAGGCGCGACCCGCCACCTGCAGCGTTTACTTGAAAGTGAGGGATATCTCCACGCACTCCCTGGGAACGAACAGTGAAAGCCAACGACCTTCCTTAATAGTTGTAGGGGGCAGAAACACATATCACCCTTAGGGAATGGTGAAGGCTGCGGTATTTTCCTCCATCATTGTTTTTACTGAGAGCCAAGGCAATGCTTAGATCCGTCTCACTGAAGGGCGTAGGAACTGCCTTACATTATCTGCTCGGACTCCTTTTGCAGCATGTACAGGTACACCGTCTTTTCGCATGCCTCAGCGACCTGCGCCATTGAAGCCCTAAAGAAACTGTCACACTTGAGTTTCTAGTGCACCACCGATACTGCTTCCTGCTTTTTATCTATTCGTAGCAGTTGTGAATCAAACCTCTTGGAATGCCACGGGGATTTTCACGCTCTCTCCAGGGCCCAGCGCCATTTCCGGTTTCCTGTAAGAACAAAGCTTTTGATTCTAGGCAATTTGCGCGGGTTTGGCCCGTCGGATAGCCTCGCAAGTCTTATACAGTGACGAGCAAAAGCGCCTCAAGGACTTCACCTACTTCGGTGTCATGACGTTTTCGTCCGATGAAACAATAGTGATGCTCAGACCGACGTCGCTAGGATTTTGATACGAAAGCCTCTGCAAAATTCATTTGCAGAAGCAGGAAAACAAAAATATCGATTTGGAGGTGCTTTCCACTTTGTTAGGTCCTTAAGCCTCCGCGATTTAAGCTGTCCCGGTGCCTAAGGGGCAGCACGAAGCATGACTACTAAAGAAGGCGCCGTTTCCATTCTTGACTGCTCTTAAAACGGCCGCACTTGAGTTTGTTTTGCTCCCACGGGGAAGGTCAAATCGTAGTTCCTTGTGACTGGAACGACAGGATCTGAAAAGCACACTTCAACGATGGCGTTGACTGTTGAGCACAGGAAGTTACGTTTGGTAGATTTGCCGGTTCATCTAGTAAAGGGTCTTAGGTGCACGTACGATTGGAGCAGTTTGCAAGAGGGTTGCCTTTAGATTTGTGCTTGTCCCCTGTTTCATTCGAGCCATCGCTTGATGAGTCTTTTTTTTCCTTTTTTGACTTCTTCTTTGACTTGTCTCCTTTATTGTCTTCTGTAGCGGCTTCCTTATTTTCTCCTGTAGCATCGTGCTCGTCGCTCTTATCCTTTTTCTTCTTCTTCTTGCCATCTGGAGCACCTGACGCGTCGTCATGCCCCTCATGCGTCTCCTCCTCCTCCTTTTTGTCGTCGCTCTTTTTCTTTTTTTTCTTGGCATCTGCAGCAACTGATATGTCGTCACGTCCCTTGTGTGTTTCCAATGCCTCTTTTTTGTCGTCACTCTTATCCTTTTTCTTCTTCTTCTTGCCATCTGCAGCACCTGACGCGTCGTCATGTCCCTCAGGTGTCTCCACGGCCCCCTTTTTGTCGTCGCTCTTATCCTTTTTCTTTTTTTTCTTAGCGTCTGTTGTTTCTAAGTCTCTTTCACTTCCTTCGTGAGGCAAGGCAATGTCTTTTGTTTCTTCCTTTTTCTTTTTCTTTTTCTTTTCCTCGGTGCTGCCAGACTCACCTGCGGTCCCTTCCAGTTTTTCGTCAATTTCTTTAGCCGTGGCCTTTTCCTTCTTGCTATCCTCCGATTTCTCTGAGGCAGCTTTGCTACTGTCCTGAGTGCCGGAATCTATTTTATCCGCGTGTTTTCCCTTTTTCTTTGTCTCTTCTTTTGACAGTTCCTCGGACTGCCCGTCAGCCAAAATCTCCCCATCTGGTGATTTCTTTTTCTTCTTCTTGGCGTCAGACTTTGTTTCTGTGCCTTCGTCTTCTTTGGCGTGTTCTTTTGCTTTAGACTTGCTTTTCTTTTTCTTTTTTTCACCCGCGTCTCCCGAGTCAGCGCCGCCCGCAGCTTCTGTTTCAGGTGCTTCGTTATTGGCAGTTTCCCGTGCTTCTTGGCTGTCGGCTTCCTTATCTTTGCTGTGTTTTGACTTGTGGTGCTTCTTCGCCTTATCGGCATGTAGTGTTGACGACGATTGCTCGCTGCTCTGGCTGCATTCTGTCTTTAGAGTTGTACCACTCGACTCCTCGGAGTTTGAGCCCTCTTCCTTATCCTTGGACCTTTTCTTGGGCTTGCCTCTGGAGCTGCTAGTGTTCGATGGTTCTGAAGCTGCTTCGGTGTCGCCGCTAGCTGTGCCTGATTCATCGTCAGTCTTCTTATCTTGATCCCCCTTGTGCTTATCCTTCGATTCTTTTTGCTTTTTCGTGGAGAAGTGCATGTGCTGAGCAGCTGCGGGCAATACATATGGTTTTCTATCCCAAGATGGCATTGTATCAAGATATAAAACAAATATGTCATTGCTGGAAAAGTCTCTTCTGAGCATTAAACGCCTACCATCTTGCGTTCTACTTCCCTCAACCACAGCATAATTTGCCTGCTCTTCTTCCCCCGGAGTTCCTGAGGCACCTTTCTGTTCTGAACTCAACTGATGACTGCTGCCTGCTCCACTTATGCTTTCCTCGCTAGTGCGTATATGCTTAGCATTTGCACCAGCCCCATGCCTAGAAGCGTGGGGTGGAAGATCCTGCGGAAGCACAGGGACCCAAGATGTGCTCGTTTGGAATTTGCGCAGTCCCGCCTAAAATGAGAATGCATGAAGGGAGGAGCGGAGGCCTTCGCTTTTTGCTCAACTTTGAGCAATGAGGAGACACAGAAGCCGATGCTCCGTTTTTGAAGGCTCACCGGTAAGAAGCTACTTACAGCTGCGTTTGGACGAGAGGGAGGAGATTGATGAGAAACAGGCCCGACCGCTTTAAGAGGGGCGAGCGGTCCATCTTCGACAAAGCTAGACGGCTGCTGCAGTGCTCGCTGGACGCGCTGTGCGACGGCGTCCGGAGTTGGCCACTTGCCGCAGGTTAGTTTAGAGAAGATTTGCTGCAGTGAAGTGCAACTGAACTTCGGGGAAACTTTCAGCTGCGCTGACGTTTTGCTTACGTTTATCTTGACTTACACTCCTTTTCCTAAACTGCCAAATGTTAGACCTTCTACAACCAGCAAAGGAACTCGCTAGCACGTCAGGTGTAATGTGCTTGCCTACAATTCTTCTGTTGATGGAGGGAATCCGTAGAAACACTTCAAACGCCCCTAGTCGGGGATACCGAAACCTACAAGTAATTCTTCCTGTCGCGTCCACGGCATTATCTACAGAACAAATGAACACCTTGACTATCGCGCCCAATAAGAAAAATAAGTGAGCGTTCCAGATCACTGATCTTCCCAAAGAGTGTTGTGAATGAATTGGGTCGCTTTTGCCTCGTATTCTCAGGTAAATCAAAAACGCTACTCCATTTTGACGACTGTTTATTGAAAAGAAAACGGACAGTGCGTGTTGCTGTAAGGGTCTCTGACAAGAATTATGCCGTCGTGCCTCCCCAAGTTTGGTTGAGGATTTACCTGCAGGCATAAAGGAAGCAATTTTAGAGCTCCTGGGATAGATGAACGCTACTGGTAGTAGGGTTTCTGCGGTGTGGTAGAGTGAACCTTTGCATGTTGTTTGACCACTCCTTGAGAGCTGGCCTCCATGAAGAGCGCTACAGCCAGCTATTGGTTTGTTTAGGCTCGACTTACGAAAACTTGTACTTCAGACGAGACATTCGCTGAAATGCTCCGATTGACTGCGGCACAGAGTACCGGCGAAAGTCGGCTCAGTGCAGTCGCCATGCATCCTCTGAAGGGCGGCGACTACGAGTGCTCTATCAGGGACTGTTGCCAACACAGTTCAGTGCTTGGCAAAATTATCTGGTACTCTGATAAAAGGAAGATCCGTCTTGTGCTCATGAAGCTGGCGTTTTGGCTGGAGTTAAAACACCCACCTTTGGAAGCATAATCCTCATATTTGCTTTCGATATGGCGGGTATAGGTTTGGTGAGCATCACATCCGATGCTGCAAGGCAATTACGACGACAGCCTCACTTGAAGCCGAACTTTACTTACTACGCAGTATTCCTATGAACTGCACTGCTTCACCCTGGAGCCACTATGCCGCGAAAAGGCTGTCCGTAGATCCGCTAAGGGCACTACTGAATGTCGCTCCCACCTCACCAGTGTTCAATTTCCACTGTAACTCCTCCGGAGCTAGCCATCCTCCCGAAGAAAGTGACTGTTACAGCTCCCTTCTACTTCTTCACTGGTTTTTTTGTTTCACGGCTAGACAGCAGGAAACACTGCTCCGCCCGATAAGGGTCCCATATCAAACCCAAAAGCAGGCGCCTCCACAGAATCGTAAGGCTCGACTCAGCTCCTTCGCTCCTAACAAAAACCTAATCAGGTGCATGAGGTGTCTACCAGCGCTAGCAAAGCACCTTCAGTCAGCCATCGTGGCAAAGGGCCCGCAGCGGGCAGACAGCTTGTAAAAGAATCTACAATCACTGGTACTACGCATGGAGAAAAGCACGCAGCCTTCGTTCTGCGCATTGGGCTCTTGCGTCTAAGCTGAATTCTATCGTATCACGTATGGCGGTGCACTGCAACACGAGTTGTGATAAAGGGTCCATTGACGAGGCAGTTGGGCAAAGCAAAGTAGTGTCTGTGTAGTTAAATACATTCAGGATGCTCAGCCTCATGCCCAATGGAGCGATTTGAACATGGCAGCTCAGAACACGCCAACAATGACGACGCACCGCCCACTCTGCGCCGCGGATCACCCACGAATGGCCGCCAATGCTAACGCAGCAGCGAATTCGATTGCCTCAGGCCTAAAACAACAGAGGAGACGTAAAAGTGACGGCTCATACAGAGTAAGTGAAATAAGGCACACGCAATGCTTATACCACTGAAGGAGCGATCATGCAGGCTTTGACTGCAACGACAATTCCTCAGTAGCTGTAGTACGGCTCTTCTGGATGCATTTGCGTCCATGATCAGGGAATGAATCCGAATGAACTTAAACCACTGGTATTATGTCAAGCAGCTTCTGACTTCCACATGAGGCGGTGGAAGACCTGGTAATTTGGGGCTTGGCTTCAGCCCTTCCTTAGCCCGTTCTGCACCGCCAGCCGCCTTGTCACTGGCTGACCGCACTGCAATACTCTTTCCGTGTTGTCTTTTCTCGGCAGTGCTGTATAATATGCATGCCATGCTTGACTGCATATCCTGGGACAGGAGGAGCGGCGACGTGGGTTGCTACTATTTCTGCTATCAACTCGAATGGCTGCTCGGTGCCAGGTACATGCGGCACGCTTTTTGTAAAAAAGTGTTTGAGGCGCGCTTCTTTGACCTCTAGAGTGCATTGGACAACCCATATGAAACTAGTTCACTTCTGCTGGGAGAGACAACGGCAAGGCTTCGGAGTTTTGCGAGGTCGCTCAGGACGCGCGACTGCCGGCGTGCGAGCTGTGTAGCTTCATTGCTTGAGGCTGCGACTTCGTGTTCTACTGTTCCAGAACCGCCGGTCGGAACCCGCCAAATTATAACTTTACTCACAGCAAGTTGCGGCCGGGCCATCTTTTAGAGTTGCGCTTGCTTGGAGACGTGTTCTGTTGCCGTCCGGCCCGCGTGGCGATGTTTAGGTGGGAAGCTGGCCTCGTGTTGAGCCGACTGCGAAGACTTCTCTCATCGTACCTCACTCATCTGGTTGGCCGTTGACTGGACCACCACGAACGTCGATAGTAGGCACGTCTGGAGAGCAAGGCCACGCGCACATCGTGCCGTGTATGGATCCTTGAGGTGAATCGTTTCGTGTTCTTCCGTTCGTCTGTTTTAGGATTGCTACTGTTCGCAATCCAGCTTGCAGATAGAGAAAATGGAAGCTTACGGTGGACCGTGCAGTCTGGAACCACTGGATTCTGTTCGTTTTCCGTGGCTTTTCTTGGGCGATAGGAGGGTTGCACGAAATGAACAGCTCCTGAGGAAACAGAAGATTGCGTATATTGTCAATTGCACCCCCCCCTGCGGGGATGGAGGGGTCCCCAATTTCCATGAGCGCTTGTCTGTAGGATCACGTCTTGCATTCAGGTACTTGCGGGTTCCTATCTTTGATACGCAGGCCGAGACGCTGCAGCCTCACTATGAGAATGTGTGGGAGTTCATGGAAACTTGCCGCACACGGGAAGATGGTAACCTTTTAATACACTGCAATCAAGGAGTTTCTCGGTCGGTTGCCTTCATCTGTTCGTATCTAATAAAATACGAGGGCATGTCTTCGGATGAGGCATTGGCATTCGTCCGCCGCCGAAACCCTTTGGCGCAGCCAAATGAGTCGTTCCGCTCGCAGCTGGAAGTTCTTTACGAATGCGTGAAGAAGGAACCTCGTTCAGTTCACTCGGAGCCCCGACGGTTGCCACAAGCAGGGTGGTTGCCGCCCCATGCAACTGCCCGGAAGAGGGCTGCATCCTGTTCCCTGCCGAATGGAATGCCACAGCGGAAAGTCATGCGATTTATTGGCCCTGCACGGCCTCCAGTCACAGATGAAACTTCCCCTAGCAGGGAGACTGAGGGAGGGCGTTCCGGCAGGGAAATGAACACGCCTCCAAGCAGTAGCAGTTCCGGCTCCTCGACGAATGTTAATTCATTTCCTCAGGGAGTCACTGACACGGGAGCGGAACGAGCGGCTCTTGCTGACGGGGAACCCATTCAAGAAGGGAACCAGATACAGGCTGAACGGGCCTACGACGAGGCTACAACCGCAGTAGATGGAGAAGGCGTTAAAGGGAATTGTTCAAATCCTGCATGCGAGTTAAGTGTGCATTCAGTTTCAGATGCGGAGGGTAATGACGGAATACCCGTTTCTCCTGCAGATGTTTGTTGCGAGCAGCTTGTGGGATGCAAAGACACCCCGCTGCATCAGGATCCTCATGCTGTTGATTCAGTCATCTCTTCCCCCTGTGTGCCATCAGAGCAACAGCCGCAGCATTCAGCTTGCCTACAGGGGTCATACGGCGACTCAGAAACATCGGCTTCTGCTGTTACAGATACGCAAGCAGCCGTAGAAGAATATCGGGGTCCAGTTGTCGCTCACCGAGCGGCAGCAGTCGAGGGCAGCGTCTGTGGGGAGCAGAACTTGGTGGATGCAAACGTTGCAGATCACACTGTGGTGCTTAACAGCGCGTGCGAAGCACCTAGTTGGAGCGTGCCGCCGTTTGCCGACTCGCCGGAAAATCGCCAAAAAACGAGCAGCAGTGCAGTGCAGGCGGCTGTCTTGAGCGCTTGAGAGCACCTCGGTTTGCCAGTCAAAATCGTGAACTTGCAGAGCGTAGGTCAAGACCACAAAGTGAAGTTTGTTCGGAACCGTTGACCAGGTTTCTTCGAACGTAGTGGGCAGTGGGCAACTCTGCTTTCCTACCTGGCGGACGTGGTGTGAAGGGTATTGCATCCCTGCGTGTTTCATTTTGAGTTACGAACGTGGCTGCAGCAATGCCCGCACGTCTTATTGCGGTGTGATTCTATGTAGCCGTAGTCTGCTTTCAGCTCTTGTCCCTTCTCAATTTTCGTCATTTTGCTGATCAGCATGCTGTAGAGACTTTTCCTGCAGGGTTTTGTGTTGTGCGGCTAGCTGCAGCGCCGATGTACTACGACTGACGCAGGCTGCACATCTTTGTCCAGTCTAGGTCCCTAGGACAACGCATTAATAAGTGATTAGCAAGCTCGGTCAGAAAGAGCCGCCCTACGGAGCATCTGGCGGTGAAGGAGCATCTCGAGTTAAACCACTTAATACCAGCGGCTCTAGCTTTAAACGCTAGAAACTGCTGTTCTGTGGGACGGGGGACACGAATGTCGACGGTCACCCGCGCTTTGGCTGGCGCGTGGAAGCAACTCAACTGTAGTGTAAACTTTCGTCAGACCCTGCCAGCACATGCTAGTAACATATTTGTGACGCTGCTCAGAAGCGATGCGCACACTGTTAAGTTCGCACTAGGGAAGTGAGTGGAGCTGCTGCTTCACCGGAATCGTTTTTGTTCAGCATTTTCTACTGTGCCTCTGCCTGCTGCTCCTGGGCGCGCTTCATGAGAACTTCCACCTCTTTTGCAGGTAGCGACCGCTGCTCCAGAACAGTGGGGTCCTGGGGGTCAAATTGTAAAACCGCGATTTCAAGTTTATCTGCACTTGGCGCTGCCGTGTCCATTGTTTTGTTGAGAACTTTGGCTGCTAAATCAAGCGCCGCCGGTACGTCCATATCATCTCGCAACTCCTGCGTCAAGCACATTTTCGCATCAGCAGGTAGTAGACACAAACTCCAACTAGGGCAACGTAGTACGGCGATGCCCCGTCTGCCACCGATAGAACTCGGACGGGCGACAAGGCGAAATGTATCGTCCAACAGCTGCATCAAACGAACCCCAACAGTTCATGGTGCATACCTGTTTCAGGATTGTCTGTGCTGACTGGTTGTTCACGCCAATAGCTGTCGCCTTCCATCCAGAGTAATTGCCCGATGGGTCGGTATGATACAGCTGGAAGCCGTAGTGCTTGTCCCAACCAGCAAACAGAAAGCTTACGCCGAATGGCCGCAACCCACCAAACTGTGTGTAAGACTGCACACAAAACATTCTAAAATACCCGGATGTGTCAGGCGCCAGCGACTGCGTATAATCAAGATGCCCGCGAGTTCCCCACTACAGTTGTCTTTCCCAATGCATTACAACCGCTCTCGCGCAAGGTATCGAGCAGTCTTGAATCCATGCTTACTTGCTTGATGTCGCATAGCTGTACCACCAGCTGCTCGATTGGTTGTGGTTCTCCGTACTGATACAGAAAGCGTTGAGCGTTAACTCTTGCTTGATTAATCAGGATGTTTGCGTCAGCTGTTAATCCCGCCACTGCGCACATCACGTGGTTGTCGACCTGAACAAATGCGCCGTTCATCAAAAGCGCTTAGTGCCTATGCGCCATGGCGTAGTAGCCTACCACTGCAAATCCGCGTATACCCGTCGCTCCAAAACACATGCCAAGTCTATTTCTACATCACCAGAGCGTATTACCACGTCCACCAACCTCACTTCAATATCTGTCTAACGAAGAAAAGAGGGCCGGTGTTGCTGTAAACGACGCAGAAGCCCGGCTAACTTCAACTGCAAGTCTGTTGGGATCTTTTGTAGGTCTCACCTTGTATAGCTTTTCTTTGGTTCTTCCATGATCAAGCAGCTTCGAGGTAACCATCTTGTCAGCAGCCAAGACAACTCCATCCTTTGCCAGAATGCCTAGTGTGGACGAGGCGTTGTTAATAGCCTCAAGAGCGTACTCTACCTGGTAAAGTCTCCCCTCGGGAGAGAAAGTGGTCGTGCGCGAGTCGTACCGGCGCGACATTCTAGACGTAGGTAGAGTTCCGAAGGTCTCTCACTCGCTCTCCCTGGGAAGGCCTAACGCTCACCAGACAAATACAACCTCTCACCAGACAAATACAACGGCCAAAACTATCGATCAAATGCCCTTCCCAGATGTGGGATTAGCTACACGAGTGTTGACAAATCTCCTTGTCCGAACGAAATGCTTTAGTTAATATGGTCACAATTAGCGTAAGTAGAAACACGTGATGCCGCGGTTTCTTGTAGAGCCAAATTCAGTAGAAAAATGCTCAAACGAATCACGAAGAATGCAAAGCCCGACATGCCCACCCTAGCCATATGGTATTATCCATGGAAGTTTGTTGCCGTTAATGTGCAAAAAAAAACGAACCTTCTGCCACCTCCTAAGGGGCGTAATCAATACAGAAAGTTGAGAGATGGCTGTGCCTCACGCTGTCGGCGGGGACGGAATTGGGCAGTTCTGCAAGAAGTGGTGGGGGAATAGATTGCCGCATGGCGACTGTAAGAAGTGGAACGAAAAAAGAAAATAGCTTCATTATCGCATTAATCCAAGACATCCCCTAACACGCGCCAGGTGCATGCCGTCGAGTGACTGGCCAAGCATGCAGCCAACCTGCGGTGAGCAAGTGTGCCACGACGAGAATTAAATGACGGGCGTGAACTGCCTTCGGAAGCAAAATGGAGCCAGTTGAACACGTCTATGTTATAACCCTGGTATAATATGTGATATAATATGATTCAATATGCGAGATAACGTGATACAGAAACTGGGAAAGACGAGGCTGATGGCAGCTGCCTGTGTAGCATGCCCTGTCTTAAGCTGGCAAGTGAATTAATACTTGTCTGCCCGCTGGCTACTGAATTCCAAGTAAGTGTTTTAAGAATTATTTACAGTGTTTTTTGCGGGTGATGCGAGGACGGGCTCTGTTGCGCTCTCATTCGGTTGCCTTCCAGCATGGGCATGGCCTAGGTTTTTCCATTTAGAAGAGTCTTACATTAGAGAGATTAGGATGGTTTTTCCACCACTTATTCAGGGTGGAATTTGACTGGAGGGGGATTTTGCTACCCCTGGACGGCCAGGTTACAGCGGCTGTCTACCTTAGTTTTTACATGATGATGCGCGGCCCCTTTTAAGAATTTAAGAATACGTATTTTACTTGTATTTTCAAGAGGCTACACGCTCAACCAATACTAGGGTATTACAAGCATTATCTGCCTGACGGTGGTACATGTTCTTCCCTTTGTGTGCAAGCTGGCCACTGAATGCCCAGTAAATGTTGAACAATTGTCTGCAATGCCAGCGCAAGTGGGGTTTGGGAATAGTTGGTTTTGAGGTCACTCTGCAGCAGCTGTTGCAGCAAGGTACACTGCGACCCAAGATATTCACACACTTTTGCTCAACAGCTACCTTTGCACCTCTCTGACCAGGACGCCTGGCAACTAAACGCGAAGTGAGTTTCTTGCAAGAACTCCTATTTTGCGTTTTCTGACGATGTTTTCAGCTAACAACGGTTCTCAGCTAAGATAGAATTTGGTTACATTTGGTAGCATCCCATGATTCATCAGGGAAGGCATGCACAGCGGATCGCAGCATCACTGCTGGACGGCCTGGTGCACGGCATTGATTAGGGCACTAAGACAATCTGCGAAAAACAAAAACGCGAGCGTCTCTGGGCATTCTCCTAAAAATATTTGCCAAAGCCTCAACCTAATCCCTTCCCATATTGAGATAGACCGCAATGCCGCATCGAAAAGTATCAGTCCTTGGTGAGCAGAAGTCTAGCAGTAAGCTCAGAGCTGCTGTATCCATGTTACATGGCAGGACTGTCCCCTGGGAAGACCCAGTTGGCAACCCGCTGGGCAGCGGAGAGGGAACAAAGGGATGAAAGGTTCAAACCCGCCAAGATCTTGGATTACTTATTCATCATGGATGAAACATGTCAGTTTCACTGCCTTGCTGGAAAGGAAGAAAACGGGTTTGGAAGTGACCAGGCGAGCACAGAGTTAACTTGAGGCGGAACTGTTGGTGCCGATGCTGCGGGGCAGGGGGGGAGGCGGAGTTCCCCTGTTTGATCTGTCTGTTCCCCTGACAGAGCTGTCCGAATCTTTGCTCCTCCAGTTTCTTAGCTCTTTCGCAGACCTACAGTATTGATTTGTGCAACCTCGTTTACTGCAAACGAAGCAAATGCGTCGCTCGGTAAGTCCCGCCGAGTTGCTGTCGATTACATGCTTTCATCTTCTCATGGACGTGGCTAGCATTCGTAGCCACAATAGCAAAAGGCTTTATTTCCAGGTCATCTTTAGAACCGATTCGTTTCTTCTCAGCTAGGGCGGTGGAGACGGCTTGTTCTCCCCCATTTGGTGCACTTGTTCATCTCGCCATGGTCAACACTTTAAACCCTTAACACCCGCTCCTCTGCCCAGCTGGTTATCCATTGCTTCCCTGCGGAGGACATTCCTGTAACGAACCATTGATATAGGATTGTCCAGCCAGCCACTGGTTTTCTGTTCACCAAAGACTGATGATTCCCGATATAGCGCTCTATCGATAGTTCCCCACTTATGAAGTAGCCTGCTCGCTTGCCGACACGGGAACGAACATGCATCCCAGGGCGTATCGGAGGGCTTCCATAGTCAGAATGCGCTCCGGTAAAGTGGTTCTCTTGCTCAGATAGAATTAACACTGGCGTGACCTCCCCCATAGTGTCGAAGTGTTTTCCGGTGCATTTTGGAGATGAAGGGAAAAGTCCAGAGAGTCAAGCAGCTCCTCCGCCGCCCCCGCATCGCGGCAACGGCCGTCACATCTGGACCAGCACAACCGATTCATGAAGAAGGTAGAGGCGTTCTCCATGAAATGTGTTTGCCGTACAGGCATTTTCCCCTGGGTATGATAGGTATGCTGAGCTAGTATAAATGCGACACGGCTCCCAAAGTTTGTCGCCTCCCCGCGAGAGGGCAGACTCTGACGGCTGAGGCTTTGAAAGAGTTCGGGGAGCATTTCAAACCTGTTAGTACTTTTCACAAGCTGCGGTAGCAGTCATTGCTATGCACCAGGACACCCCGCTGTTTGAGAAGGGTTCGCCGCTCGCACCTGTCCCGATAAACCATGCGATGCTACACTTGGTAGGACCGCATGGCTGGTCGGGACAGACAGACAATGCGGTGCTACCAAGTGTAATTAGCGTCCCCGGTCCTACGCAAAGATCGCTGAGAGGCGCAATCTAGTCAAAAAAACTTAAGATTCCTAATGCAGCTGACCACCCCTCCAGGCCCCAGGCGTTCTGGGTACAGAAGACCAACAGCCTAGTGCCGGGGGAAAGGAGACGCCCTGCCATGAGTTGCAGCGCACCTCGGTGCAACTGATGCTGTAAGGCACCTTCATATGCATGCACAACTAAATCCACTTTGGGCATCTGCATGAACAGTGTAGAAGTTCCTTGTATTTCGGTTTACGCTATGGCTGCCTTCTAAGGCCAAACAGATGTTCACGTTGTACTAGTTTCAGAAGGAGCATGCTGCAACCCTCGTCACAACTCACCGCTTTCCCCGGCTTAAAACTCTTAGCTTAGGTATTTCGAGTATATACAGCTGCCTCTTCGTGCCTTTTTTCCACTAACGTGGGAAGAGAACGAGCGTGCATTCGCACGCCCACTTACTTGCATGAATACACAGGGAGCATTTTTAAAAAAAATTAGAGGCAGAAAATATTACACACTCGCGGCCAGAAGAAATGTGCCGCGAAAGTCCGCGATTTTACCAGATGAGTGTCGTAAGGTGCAGTCAGTCAAAACGGCTTACGGCAAGGGTTCCTAAGGACAAACTGACTTCCCCTCCAGTCCCCAGGCGTTAGGCGTACAGTGGTACAAGGTCCCGGAGCCGGGGGAGAGGAGACACCCTAACACGAGTTACACAACACTTCGTTGCAGCTGATGCTGCAAGGCACCTCCGCATGCAAGCACAACTAAGCCCCCTTTCGCTATTTAGTAGTGCAAGAGGCAATTGCTGTACTTCCTCATGAGCGCAGGGTGCCTACTGAGGCCAAGCAAGTATTCATGGACCAACTCTGGACAGACAGTCCTAGAAAATATGTGCGGCGGCGCCTCTTGTCGGCAGCACACCCCGTCAGCATGCGCTGAAAAGGCTGACGCGGGAAACAAGGCGCCAGTAAAGGAGGACACACGGTAAAAGTCCCAAAGTGCATAGAGCGAACAGGAACATACCGCTGATGGAGAGAGTACAGGGAAGTGCTCGCGGCAAGGAAACGGAAGCGTCCACCGGAGTGAAGTTGTAGTGCCGGGCACACTAATGATGCTGGCGAACTGCCCTAGGGAGCAAAAAGAAGCGACTAAAACATGTCTAAATTGTAAATGTGATATAATGGGTGATACAATGAGATATATGAAGTTATATAGCCCGATATAATATGCCGAGAAGGCGAGGCTCTGATGGTGGCCAGACCCTACGGGCTCAGCAGCGGAGCCCATCTGAGTGGCAGACACTCTGCAGCTGCCAGCACCTCTGTGCACGCAGCGAAATAATTTAAGCGGTGGAAGTTCTCTCTTTCTTAGTACAGAACAGAGCTCGCGGATACCAGAAGCAGGTGTCAAATATTTTAGGTAATGAATCTAGAGAATCCGCGCAGGTTATTTAGAAGTCTAGTTTAGTTAGCTGGTCGCAGAGACTCACTTAAGTGTCTAGCAGGGCTAGGCGCACTACACCGCTGCTGCTGGTCATTGTCCACGTAGATGATAAGAAAGGTGCGCCCTTGCATTGCATATGCCTACATCTAAAGTATACTTTCGAAACCAACCGCATTTTGCCTTTCCTGGGGGGCTTGGGGAGGCCGAGCGGAACTGCGCTGCCGTGCTTCTTGGGCTTCCCCCCGGCACAGCACAGTGGCTGTGTGCACATGTGCTGCGGGCGTCCTGTTGTAAATTTCTCGATTCTTTGCGTTGGATATTTGATTACTGAGTTTAGATCCTTGAAATATCATAGGCGGGGCCTCTCTTGAGCAGCTTGGGTATCTGCCGACTGCCTCAGAACATCTGAGCTGTTTCCCCTCAACCCCAGCCCTGTATTCAAACACCTCAACTACGAACAAAAGTCGAGATGGCGGATCAGCTCACCGAGGAGCAAATTGCAGAGTTCAAGGAGGCATTTAGTCTCTTTGACAAAGATGGAGACGGAAGTGAGCTCCTGTGATGGGAGTCATTCTTTCCCTGGAGGGGCCCGAGCTGCTGGCGCGGCTGCTGTTCTTGACTCGTCTTGCTTCAGTGGATGCAATACAACGACTAACCTTTATTTTGTTGAATCGATTCAGACTGTCTGATTCCTTATGCTGCTTTTCTTCCCTCGCTTCCTCTTCCATGGGCCCCTTTGGGCCGTTGTGCGCACAGCGGCCTCAACGGGCAGCTAGAGTTCTGCTTCGAATGTTCAAACTTGGTACTGCATTTTCCTTTTGCAGTGTCGTATTTTTATTCTTAGTGGGAAGAGACGCGTACGAGACACAAGCGGCGAATGCGCCGCATGGTGGATGGGGGAGCACAGGCGCCGTGGTTGACGAATATGCATGTGGCATTCTTTCCTTCGTGCTTGTGGCATTTGGTTTGAAATGATTCATTGCACTGCATCTGATATGACTGTTTATACCGATTTCCTCCAGATTTATAGTTTGTTCCGGGTTTGGAAGGCGAACTGGCGCTCCCACTGATGAGAAAAGAGGATTTCCATGGTGGCTGTTCTGCAAGCTTTGGTGGATATTTTCCTCTTCCCACTCCGGCCTGCATTTTCCTCCTTTTATATTGTTCTGTTTGTGGCGCTGTGCGTGCTCCTGTTCCCTTTGCAGCGATCACAACCAAGGAACTTGGGACTGTGATGAGGTCCCTGGGTCAGAATCCCACGGAGGCGGAACTCCAGGACATGATTAACGAAGTGGACGCGGATGGCAACGGTACGAATACCCATACATTCACATCCTTTGCTAGGTGGTTGCTGGTATCCACATGGATCTCTTTTTTCGATCGTGAGCTGCAGCTATGTGAAGAAGTTATGGAATGTAAGGCAGGCTTCTTGCTCTTTGGGAGCGGGTGTACGCACAGGCACGATTGACTTCCCTGAGTTCCTAACGCTGATGGCCCGTAAGATGAAGGATACAGATTCGGAAGAGGAGTTGATCGAGGCCTTTAAGGTCTTCGACAGAGACGGCAACGGCCTGATTTCCGCAGCTGAGCTACGGCACGTGATGACGAATCTGGGAGAGAAGCTAACGGACGAGGAGGTCGACGAGATGATTAGAGAGGCAGACATAGACGGAGACGGGCAGATCAACTACGAGGAGTTCGTGGGCATGATGCTTGCCAAGTGAATGTGCGTCTGCAGTGGCTAGCTGGAAAGTCGAGTGCTACAGGACGCAGGGCGCCCCATGTGGTGCCTCCAAACCGCCGATAGCCAAGGTTTTGTAAAGAGCTTATACTGTGCATTCCGGTGATCCTGGCATATTTCTTGAATGCGTGAAGAAGAATGGGGAATGGGGTGGGTGGAGACGGTTAGCTCCTTGGCCCGTTCGTCCGGGGCCTATACGGTTGAGCGGTTGCTCTTGTCGCAGTGTCACGCCGTCAGTTGCTGCTGCCCGGCGGTTGGGGAGCGGCATTATCCGTAGGCAGGCGTCCTTCGCTGTACACAGCCGATGTTCGCCTTATGCCCAGCCTGCCACGGGGTAGCCAGCTAGCCAAGGCCTTCGCTGCACACTCGTGGAGTTTTTGACAAGAGGGAGACATGATGGGGAGCCAGCGCTGCTGCTGGGACACTAGCTCCAGCTGGCTTGCACAGCCATTCAGCGTGGCCAACCCCTCACCTCTTGCGGACCTCGATTCGCGGCTCCCAGTCAACTATTATTGTCTCCGGGGTTAACACAGTCCCTTTGCACCAAAACTCTAAGCCCCGTATGGGGCGGTTGGGGATGCTCGCGTTATGCTTTGGTTGCGCAAAATCCCCTGCTGTGCCCTGTGAGCTGTAGACCAGTCCGTAGTACCTCGGGGCATCCTACGCAGTGCACTGCCTATCCTACAGATGTGCGTATGGAGGCATGTGAAAGTGATGTAACAGTATACATATTCGCCTCTTCTTTCCCATAAATATGATTGTGTGGGCCGTAACTAAGTAGCTAACGAGTCGCCATTCGCCCCTACTCAATGCAGCGATACACAAAACAGAAAAGGACGAATTAGAAGTCTCGAGTTTGGGGGTTAGGACCCTGCGGCGCGGCCTGCTGACCGCGCACCGCGTGGTCCCCAGATGGTGAGCGGCTCTTTTTATATGTTGGACACAGTAACCTCCACTTCAACACCGGGGTCGATGTTGATGGACGTGATCTGCCGAACCACGTCGCTTGCTGAGTGCAAGTCGATCAAACGCTTGTAAATACGCAGCTCGAACCTGTCGTACGTGTTCGTTCCTGAAACCATCGGTACGCAGAAAACCAACAAAGAGGCATCATATATGCAGTCCTCACACGCACTTTACAAACTCGCGCCTGCTACGGAAAATGCTGGACCCTGCATGCATCTATAACGAGCGGGAGAAAATGGGACTATGCATCGAATGTGGATAACCTGTATCCACATTCGATGCATAGTCAGCAAGGAAACATACACACAGGATATCCGCACTTGGTAGTGGAGGAGACTTCATCATCTGTTGTATCACTCACCCTCTCCACACGGCGATTTCCTAGTGGTGACCCGCAGGGTCTTGACGGGTAGGCGTACCGGCCCATTTGTCTGCAGCCTCCTCTGTTTTGCCGCTCCAATAAGCTCCGTACACACTGCGGATAAACAGAGTATGCAGAAAAAAGCAGAGGACACAGGCAGAGGCAACAACAAAAGGAATTGCGAGAGATGAAATGACGCCCATACACAATGTTGCACCGAAGTGCTCATACGCCCTGCACCGTATAAAGGGAAAATGCTGCGAAGCGCTAGTAATCTGAACAAGCGCCGGCGCAAGGCAAGAATGTACGAAACTAGGCGGGAGCTTCCAACCCCCTCTCCCTGCCTCGTCCGTGCGAAGGAGAGATATGAAGGACGTTGTCTTAATGAGTAAAGACGCTGCCTTTGCTCCACGCATTTAGAAGGCAAAAGAGGCACAGGTATTCAGGTGTCTCGCCAGGTGCATGACATGATACACGCCTTGACAGCTGCGCATGTTGACACCGAGATGAACTGATCAGGCTCAAGGAGGGGTAATTTTGCTCATTTTGATTCCTCACCACGCTCGATGGATTTCAAATCCTTCGAGGTAAGCGTTATGCGTATCCTGTGGAGCCGCTGCTCCTCCCCCTCCAAACCCTCCTTGAGCGCCTTGCTCATGCTGGTGGCTACAGAGGAAAAAGGAGGTATAAGTTAGGAATAATAAATCCTAAATACCGCCACAATTGGAAAATGCGTCTCTCCGAAAGCCAGCATCACCCACTATTCCCCACATAGAACTCCGTCGGGCTTTAGGCTACAGCAGCCCCACTAGGCGGTGGGTGCTCTCCCGCAGCCGCTGGCTGCCCCACTGCGGCCGCTTCTGTCGGGCTCTCAGTGGCGTTCGGCTGCAGCCCCAACTGCAACATTGTTAAACAACGCTAGTGGGGTGCTGTTGCATTCGCTACCCCCACGCTGCTACGGCTGCCTGCTCAGAGCAGGCTTTCTCGCCTTCTTTCATCTGCTGCACCACGGGGCCCTTTCTTGTATTTCGCGGGACTTGTGCAGTTTTCTACACGTGTTTACTTGTAAATCCTGCAAACTCCCACTCAAGAAAGATGACAGCAGCGGCCACCCAAAAGAAACGCCCAGTTAAGGGCACTAAGGAGCCGGTTCGGCTTTATGTTCGAGGCATTGTCCTCGGTTATCAGAGGTGAGGGATTCTTCCTCATTTGTTTACTTTTTGCTTTCCTTCCCCTTTTTGCAGCCAAGACCAACTAGTTCCCTTTAGTGGGTCTATCCCACTCTGGGTTTTGTGGAGAGGCAGCCCCATGCCTACCGCAAGAAACATAATATGAGTACTTTGCCTCTTAGTCCACGTGGTTTCCTTTCTACGGAGGGTTCGATTTATGCATCACTTGGGTGTTACAGGAGGCGCTAAAGGCATGCTCAGTTGGGAGTGAGTATTCTGGCTGCGTTTCAGGTCCAAGGTGAATCAGACTCCGTCTCGCTCTCTTTTGCAATTGGAGAATGTGAAGACCAGACAGGACACTGCTTTCTACCTAGGCAAGCGCGTGGCATATGTGTACAAGGCAAAGACAGAGAAGAAGGGGACAAAGTTCAGGGTACGCCATGTGTGTACTTAGCGACGGGCTGGCTGTCACTGCTGAGGACTGTACACCTCATAGAGTAGGAGTGGGTGTGTACTCAGCGGAAGCGTGCTCCTGATGTCTCTGCATTGACCTTTTGCCTGTTCTGTCGTTTACAGACGATTTGGGGAAAGATCTGCCGCCCTCATGGCAACAGCGGCGTCGTGCGCGCCCGCTTTAGGAAGAATTTGCCCCCGAAGTCATTTGGAGGTCGCGTGCGTGTCTTTTTGTATCCTTCCAACATCTAAATTGTTAGAGAAATCCTGTATGCCAACTGCGAGGGTCCCTCGTTAACCCTCGCTGCCAGGCGGGATTCTGTATATGGTTAAGGCTCGGGGAGTGGGAGGGTGCGGGCGGCGTGCGCTCTTTTGTACGCGAACTGTTGGACAGACACTAATAATGTTCTGTTGGTTTTTACCTCGGTGCCTGCGTGTTTCACTCATTACCTTCAGTAACCTCTAGGCTACAGATATTCTTATACAAGAGGGCGCTTAGTGTGTGTGTTGGGGCCGGGACGGGGAGGAGGGGTTGCCGCGTGTGCGAATAAGCATTAGAACAAGTAGTTCTACCGAACGCAGAGTCCATTTTGAAACTGCCAGCCTAGCTAGTGTTCCTATTGAAGAGGCCAAACAAGAGTCTAGACCAAATGCCCCAAGCGTATCGAGGAGAACCAATCAGCTTGGTGCTGCCTTCCCCGCTGCTTTGCGGTAAGCAGACTCTCTCAGATTCTGGACTAGGTCATTCATTTTCTTTCGGAGTGCTTCGGCTGCTCTCCCGGGGTCCTGTTGGGCAAGCGGAGCACATGGAGCCAAGGAGGCGATCGTGAGGAAGGCAAAGAACACAGGGCATCTGTGTAGGAGCGCGGCATATCGGGTGTCACCGCACTATTGTTTGGACCTCGTGTTCCTGCTTGACGTCGTTTACCTCCGCTTCCGAGATTGCCCGTCCGACATTCACGATGAGGCCGAGACCATCTTTCCTGAGACCTGGACATTCGGGCAGTGCTTGGCATGTCTTTGCGAATAAACAGATAAAAATTGATTGTAAGTCAAACACCGGCACAATTGACCGCCTTTTCGACTTGGTACAGGCTAGCGGTCAGTGGCAAAGCGCATTTCCTTCGCCTCAAATGCACTAACGACATCAGGGGCAGACAATACTACAATGCTGCGCCTTCCTATCCCCAGCAGAGGGCGCCCAAACCATAATTAGAAAGAGAACTTCCCACCTGCTTCAATGGTTGCCTCGAGGTCTCCCCCCTGCGCGCCGATGCCCGGGGACAAGAACCACATTTCGGGGAAAATAGAACGAATTCTCCTCATGTCGTCAGGATATGTTGAACCCACAACCAAGCCAACTAAGCCTCCACCCTCTGTCAGGGAAGGTTCTGCAGACAGGTCGCGACTCAAGAATGCTCGCTAGCCTAGAGAAGAACTATTTTCAGACTAACTAGTTTCAAGTCGCTCTGGTCCTTGCGCAAGCGAACGATCGGACGCATATTTAGGGTTGTCAAAACTCCACACACGTCGATGATACTGGATGCTAGAGTAATTAATATGCTTGCGCTTACCACTTTGCCTCCTCACGCTATCGCAAATGCAAGCCACTCGCATGAACACCTCCTTATTTGCCTCCATCTGCACTTCCTCCGAACGCCCACTAACAATAAGCCCTTGCAAATCGGAGCTGCGTGGATTTGAACTTCGGCAAACGACGAATATCCCCTTCCCTTTTTCCTTAACAAAGGGGAGGAGCGCATTCTCCCCCAAGTATGGGTCTAAAGTTATGCAGTCAGCCTGATGCACGAGCGCAAACGTACGAAAAATTCGTCACGAACAGATAATGCTGAAACTACACAGCAGGAGGAAAAACACGTGAGGCAGGAGGCAAACTGCCAAGAGAGGATACAGGCAAACCTAGGGATGCACCAATGTGGGTGTTTTGTCGGGATTAAACTGCCACGGAAACTCTTGTAGCTTAGTTTAGAAGTTTTGTTAATATGCACTGCAGTACGACTCTTCAACCATACATACGCCGTAGAGAGAATAGAAGGCATGAGCGTAGGCCTCTGCTGCTTCGCCGGTCGCCGCTCTTTTTGCGTCAATGATAACTGGAATATCTTCGGGTATTTCCCTACAGAGTTGTTGCAAAACCTAAATGGGCAAAAAAATGGCAGGGTTAACGGTCGGAAACACGCAGCTTTCATGTTGCAGCGCCATCGAAAAAGGTTAAGCTGAATTCAACTTCCTCCGCAAGATTATAAGGCGTAACGCAATGCATTCCATTGAAACGAGTTATTCTGCCCTTCGCTGCGTGAATGCAAGGTACCGCACGAGGGACGGTTGTTGTGCAAAACTTTAGGAATCCCCTGTAGCGGGTAGCGCACCTCCATTCCTCCTGGTCCATACTGTTCAAAGAAAGCCACGTTGAACTTAAAGCAGCAGACAGAATCAGAAGTCTTCTTAATGAGGTAAGTGCACTTTGCATGTAGATCTTTAGCGAGCTGCCGCAGCTCAGTGGCCGAGAGTTCCACAACAGAACCGCATGGAATGTTGGGGTCAACCCCTACACAAAGAATCGTCCCATATTCTTTAATGCGACGAGTCAGCTTGTCTAAAAAAGAACAAGCCATTGCTGAGCTCCAGGCCTAGAAAAATTCGGCGCGGTCTACAAAAACCATACGGCAAGCACCGCATTGACCTGTAGAAGGCCTCTAGCCAACAATCTTCGTCTGTACCAAATTTCTATTTCAACGAAGTGATTGTGTTTTAGACAAGGAGGAGGGAAATCGGACTTTGGATACAAGAAACCTCAAGGCGAAGGCCCCAAGGTGGGGCCCCCCAGTGGGAGCCCCACTATATTCGTCCAGGCAACTCGGACGATATTGCAAAAAAATTATCTCTGTTCATCGTTAAACATCTTTTGCACCTAACAACTGAAGAACTTTTCAACTGACGAAGAGCCGGCCACCCACCAACTGGGAGGTTGCCAGTCTGGGGCGACTGCACACTTCGTTGGAACGAGACGTCCCGTGTACCTCCAAAAAACGGTCGTCCTAGTGACTAGTCAAGTAAGAGCTGCTGCCTTACATCCGTCCAGTCCACATCAGCTTAACTGACAAGCTACTCGGCCTACCACCACAGCCCACTCCACATGGCGTGGAGTCCTGCCAAATAGAGGAGGAGCACATTGAACGTATAAGCAAAATTGCCCCCTCAGCTAGCTTGTTAGCAAACTAAAAGATGTAAACTAGTCACGAACTAACAGTTACGCAGCCTACAAAGACCTTCCACTTCACCAACCCCCGCAGTTCTAGACGTGCCAGTACGAACTTCCCATGCAAAGCAAAACCGAGGAGCGGATCCCAAGCGGGAACTCCTCGTACAGCAGCACTAACAGCAGCATAAACAGCAGCAGAAAAAACATGGTCTGCTATGCCACCATCTTGGTAGCACTGCAGCGCCTCTCCTTGTCGCCTGGCTATGCCCAGAAGAAAGCCAACGACCGAGAGGAAGAGATTCAAACAACAGCAGCAAGCATCGGCAGCAGCAGACACAGCAGCAATCGTTAGAAGCAGCCGCACCAAAACCTCCACAAAAACTGGAAAGGCATTGGGGCCGTCTTTTGGGTCTCCTGGGTCCAAAAGAACCACCCCTGTCATCTCCCTAACCCTTCGAGAGACTGACACCAACGGACAGCCTGGATCTTCGTCGCCTCCCCAGCCATTTACAAAACTGACACCAAAGGACAGCATAGACACAAGCAACAGTATGTCACTCTACAGGCTACGTTGCTGGTGCGCGGTTCTTTAGTCGCCCTCTGAAAGCCCGCGAACTCGCGGGGTCCTTGGTCGACAAGCAGTCTCTGTAGCAGCAGTGAAAACAGCAACAGAATCGGGAGCAGAAGCTGCCGCTGCTCTGCTGCAGCTGAAACCTGTCCCGATGCTGCCCTATGCCCGGCCGACAGCTCATATCTAGTCAACCCGCTTCTCCATTGACTCAACTGTAGTGGCTCAGCAACTGCGAAGAAACAAAAACAACGCCGGTACACGAAAATGGAGCACGTAACGAAGCAAAAAAGCAAAAGACACATCGGCAAAACATGGATGATGAGTCTTCTCATTCTGTACAACGCAGGTAAGCAAGCTACACACATTTTAAACGTGTACAATACGTCACCCCCTTCCATCCCAGTACCCTGCAACTTCAAAACCCCCCTCTCCCGTCCCTAAAACTCATCTAGACCCGCAGAAGCATAAACTGTGAAGAGCCTCTAAAACCGACTCTGAAGAGCTCCACAGCAAATTAGTACCTGAGCTAGCCACTGTGCTTTCGCTCCAACAGCGGCGTTGCCTTCTTCTGTTGCCAGACGCTCGGCTTCCCTCTGCAACTGAACAACGAAGCTTAGAGAGCGCAAGTGACTTCCCAGTGTCCGCCCAAATGTCGATAAAAGATCCCTGGGCAGCGGCGCAAAACAAGCATAACGCGGGGCTTCAACCGGCTGCCCGTACGCACCATGAAACGCGTGAACAAACCTCTGCAAGTCCCAGAGGGCCAAACGCATACCGAAATGCACGGGAACATATATAATGGCACCCTGCTCCAAAGGCACCTCACCCTGTAAGCTCCAGTGCCTGCTGCACCATCTGCGCTGAGCCGTGGACCCAAGATGGGGCTTCTGCGACGGCCTTTACCACCTGCAACATCCCGTTGACTTCTGTGCGCAGCACTTCCTGCAACTGTGCCTCCTTTAAGGCATATACGCAGCTGGCCAAGGCCTCCAGAGTTGCTGACCGCAGCTCATGCACGTACCACATCCACTCCTCATTGAGCTGTTAATACACCCACAAGCACGACACAGGATGACACACTATCTGGCTTGAAGCAACCCTAGGATACCCACGAACACCCTCTCTTTCCGAGAAGAGAAACCAGAACAAAGAATGGGCTTTGCTGTCTAGATTACCACACGAACAACTGAAAGCTGAATACGTGAAGGAGTCGTCCGAATGTAAACACAGAAATTCTCGCCTTAGGGATGTAACTTACTTGCCAGTTGGGGGGGCCCGCATCATAAGGGGTGACGCCCGCCTGTACCAGCAGCTCAATCAGCCACGGGGCAAAACGCGCAAACTTGGCACCCCCGAGACTCAGTGCTACATCGCCTACTGCGACAATCACGACTGGCTTAAGAGACCTGTCCACCGACGCGGCCTAGAGTAAGACGCACGCACAGATCCGGTTATGCGCATGCCAGACGAGTAAAAAAAGCTTATGGAGAACCAACAAAATAAAACCTCAAAGCAAGCCAGCTCAACGCAGGCGGCATCGGGCAAGCAAAAGACTACATTATAGAGGCTACGACGGTGATAGGCATACCCGGAGCAGCTCGTAAAACTGCTGGAGAAGGGCATCCGAAAAGCGTCCGAACTCCGTCCCTAGGGCCCGGCTAAGATCCCCCACAAGTTCTATACATATGCGCGCAGCCTGTAGCTCGTCTGGCGTGCTGCTGTCATTTGTTAACGTGGTAGAGGCTGCAGCTGCTGCCGCCGGTGCTGTTTCTTGCGGTTCCCACTGATGCTTCATTTGCAGCACCAGCAAGTCCGCCACTTCCTCCGCAAAGGGAGAAACCGCAGGGCCAGAGGAGTTGATAAGGGCAGAAAGTGCAAGCAGCGCATCGCAGACGCTCGGCTCGGAGCTGACGACAAATCCTTGAGGATTGCTGGGCGAGGCGCTACCCTCGACCTGGTTAACCTGCACGCCGTTCGTAGGCCGCTGGAAAACCTACAGGACGGCAAAAGTGAAGAACATACAATACAGGAATAAATATGTGGAACAGTACACAGTTATACAGACTAAAATATCAAGGAGATGCACCCCCATCCTGAATATCTCTGCGCATATCACGGCGTAGCGACGAAGCGGACACCAATGCAGTAGATCTAAGCTCGTCACTAATGCACACAACGGACCTGCTTGAGAGTGTTCCAAAGGCTGCCAGCGACGGGCTTCACTTGGTCACCAAGACGTAGGCAGAGAATCTGAATGACGCCACATAGCATCCCTGCACAAAGAGAAACACAAGCCACACAGAATTTCCATTTAGCGAGTGGTCCGCTTCTTTGCATCAAAATGCACAGGCAGCATGTGGCTCCGCCTTTCGAGTGGCCACCGACGCTTCGCCCATACCACTAAACAGGGCTTTCATCAGCATCCAGCAGGGAAGCACCGAATACTAACAAGGTGCACATAAGGAATTGAAAGCTGCACGGAGAAGCCCTCACCTTGGCGTTGTTTCGTCTGTTCTGTCTGTTCGAAAGAAAAAGATTTTCTCAGCTGACCCTCAAAATGCTCAAGGAGAGAGAGAAGATGGTTCCAGCAAGCACTGCCTGCAAGCGCACCCAACACCCTCAATCGCACTCCTTACGCCCCAACAATGCAACTGAGCAAGCACGGAATGTTGCCTGCTGTACAGTATCGCGGCAAAGTAGAAAGCCCTGAGAAGCACAATAACCTGAAGTTTTGGCGGCAAAGAGCGCAGAGCGTCTAACCTGCATTTTTAATCAACGCCCCCATGCAATTAAATGCTGCTTCGCGCAGATTCTTCTCGTCCTGTGCAATGGCCAGCGACACAGAGCGGAAAGAGCCCTTACACACACAACTTGAGCATTCACAGCATAGGGAGGCAGGGGAAGAAGCCTTGACTCACAGCGTCTGGCCGTTCCGAGACACTCAGTAGGGCTTCACAAAGTTTGGGAAAGATCGGGTCCAATGGGTTTTGATCTTGTTGCGCAGCTGTAGTTCCTTGGTAAGCCGCTCGGCCCTCAGGTGTGTTGATGTTGTCCGCTAGCTCATGCAGCATCCAGCATATGTGCACTGCTACCCTCGGTTGGTCAGCGAGACGTTCAACGATCGCAAGGAGGAGTTCGCCGCTGCTGTTGGCTGGGGCGCCAGCAGCCGACACGCCGGCCGGCGGGAACAGATGACGCAGCACAATAGGTGCATGCTGCTGCGCCGCCTTGCCGAGGGTCCATGCGGCGCTGTCTCGCACAGCTACTGAGGCATCCGACGCAACCGCCTTCACCAGCATGGGGAACGAAGTTGCGACGTAAGGGGCCATTGCCTCTGCGCTTGGCCCTTCCATCACACAGCCCAAGGCCAACAGAGACGCCTCTCGCCGACGCCACTCAGTTGATGAGAAGTTTAACTGCACGAACTCTAGCACGGGAGGCAGGATCGCATCCTTCACTACCTGAGACGGAACGGCAAAACAATGAATCGTACAACAAAAGTTCATCCACAATCGGGGAGGCAGCAGAAAAGCCTTCCGCACGGTCCCGCACGGCTTTATCCGCCATGTTCCGACGCAATCTCCCCCGCATTTCTGCAAAGAGTGACTCGCGTGGAAATTGCAATTAGTTAAGCAGTTATGGTGAACCGGCTGACTTGTGCGCATAGGCCTAAACAGATAGCGGCAGCCATAGCCGGGGTCCAGCTGTCATCATCATCCTCATCCTCCGCTGCATTGAGAAGTTGTGAAAGAAGAAGGGGAAGCAAGAAGGGTGCAGCTTGTTCCATAATTTTCAAGAGAGTCCATCGAGTTGAGTCGCCCTCTATTATAGCTAGTTCTTCCTCAGCCAACGCATTCCACACCTCCAACGCCGCAATCACAACTGCTGAATCCGACCCCTCGAGTGCATGCCAAGTGAGCTGAGCGCAACACAAATAAGTGCGCAGCGCTCCATACGAAAAAACGCGACCAACAATTTGTCCTTGAAGGGGCAAACGAATCAGACCACTGCACTCATGCTGACGAACGGCCTGACGGGGAGCGCAGGCTCCACTCCAGTAGGCAGCATATGCAGGCACACCCACATACATAATAAACGCGCTGGCATGCGATGCTCACGGAGAGCTGTTCGCTTTGATGCCCATGCGCATGCGTACAGCTTCTTCATCACATCTTGCCCGGGACTGAAAAAGAAACTGGACCTAAGTATCTTTCGCCATGGAGCTGCAGTCTAAACTTACTGGTCCCACAGTAGGCATGTATGCTTCTAAGATAGAGTAGTACTCCTGTGCAACTTGCACTATGCACTCAAAAGCTGCAACTTGAACAGGACTGGGATTCGCCGCGCCGCCAGCCTCCACTACCGCACCAATGATGTAGTCCCGTTCTTCCTGTGAATCGCACGGAGCAGGGCACCAATCAGTGAATATTTAGTACTCTCTCTTGCCAACAAATATAGAAATGTCTACTTCCGCATCTCTCGCGAATTGATGATTTGCCTCCACTGTAAGTCTGCGCAGGAGCAAGCTTGCAACAACTTGTTTTCGCTGCACCTTTCTATTGAAGTTTTCCTTTGCGAAAATTAGTGCATGGTAGAGCGCTCGCAACGCCGCCACTTTCAACTGTGGGTCCGAATCCGTCAACCCTGCAGTCGTGCAACAAGCCCCCCAAGACAGTCACATCCACCAACGCTACAAAGAGGCATAAGTGAAGGAAAATCAGGTCAAAGACAAGCAGATATCCACTACGAGCATACAGTATAGAAGAAAAGGCAAAGGCAAGGCGCTAAGCGGGCATCGTCCAGCAGCTAACTAACCATGAACGACAGCTGTGAGCACGACATTGCATCTTTCTTTCGAGAGGACCTCTGACGGATCTTCTCCCTCTGAAACAATATCGGCAAGTTCTTCGCACAGATACGCAAGACACGTTAAAGCGTGGCGTCCGCATGCCCTGGCGAGCTGCTGCTGCGGTTGCGGCTGCTGGCATGAAACTGCCTGTTGCACCATCTCTTGGAGTGCAGGTAAGAGGTTTTCAAACTCCAAGGCTCGCAGCTCTATAACCCCCAACTTCGCTAAGGCCTGGCAAACTGCGTTGCCGACCTGAAAAGCAGCACTCTATACACTCACTTTGGATCCTAGGCCCTATATCACGAATACAAGCTTTTAGAGGCGTCGCGAGACAAGCAACTACTCAGACGGGACTTCTGTGCGCCCAAAGGGAAAATTAGCTTTTAAGACTGACGACGGGAGGCGCTCGTTGTACTTGTCAAGCCAGTGTTGGCATTTCGATAGAACTCGCGAGACTAAAAATGAAGTGCACGTGCACCTCAGTGCCTACCTGAGTGCAGTCCGTATGTAAAGCTGCCAACAACTGTTTTCTTATTTCGGCTTTCGTTGCGTCTGGAAGATCCCGCCAGGCCTGTGCAGCCGCGCCATCTAGCGTCATATCCTGCACCACCCGACCACAGCACCGTAGCCACATCACGTTGATTCACTTAACGGTCGGCAGAGCGGCACCTCGTTTAGTGCAGCCATTTCACCCTAGGATAGTGCTAATGCACAACACAACAAAAGCCGCAGCTCGGAAGCAGCGGCACAGGGACAAAAACACGGCCATGCCGCCATTCATCGAAAAAGCAGAAGCTACACTCAGGGAAGCAAAAGCCAATGCAGCAGACGACGGCACGCAGCAACTGCCAGGAACAGGGGTCTTACCTTAGCGCTGATGGAGTTCTTGAATGTCACAGCAGCAATCTGCTTGGCTATAAGAAGATCTTCAAGGCTACTGGGGGCCCCCTGAGGCCCTTGGGGCGGCTGCTCTAAAGCAATGAGAGCAGCCATCGAGCTGACAAACTGACCTAGATCTGTTTGTCTCGCTGTGGTCAGCTGCTGCTCCGCTGCTTGCCTCACGGAGGGCCGAGGGTCAAGGGTTGCTAGCAGCAATTGCTGCAACACCGCCATTTGGTCCGCCATTTTTGCAGATTTTGAACGTCAAATGTGGGGAGAGCTGGGTAAATGCAGGATGAGCGTCTGAGCACGTGCTGCCGCTTCTGCTGCTGACGGTGCCGCTGCGGCAGCTGCAGCGGTGCCACCGCAGCTCTCTCAGCTGTGCTCCTGGCTTAGAAGCGAAGTTGAATCTAAGGCTTCATGCGGATGACCACAGAAGCACTCTGTGTCGTTCGCTGCTGCCGTGAGCAGCAGCAGCTGCTGCTGCTGCTCCGGTTGAAAGGATGCCAGCAGCTCCTGCCGCCCCTCCGGAAGGAAACCTCGCGCTACGTACGTGGGATGCCTGGTTCGCGGGGGATGATGTGTACGAGATGGCCGGACGGCTTCGGTACAGTGTGCACACGTTGCTCTTGCTATTGCCCCTGATACTGCTGTCTCAAGAGCTGGAACGCATCCAGATCAGCCATACCAGCAAACTGCAACAGCAGCAGTCCCTACGCATGGAGGCCGGACCGAGCAACAGCAGCGGCAGTAGCAGTGGCACAGGAACCGCTCCAGCGACTGTACAACTACTGTGACCAAGGTGGTTCCTGTTGCTCCTGCTGATATATTTAGGTGCAACGAAATCAACTTCTTGCCCGGCCAGGCTTCTGCTGCTGCCGCCGCCGCTGCCGCCGCAGCAGACCCGAAGCTGGGGAGGGGAGGGGGAGCTAGTCTAGCAGGCCGCAGCCGCCACAAAGTGAATTTAATTGCCGTTCCTCACCCTTCGAGCTGCTGTTGCTGTTCTTGCTGCTGCTAAGCCTGGTGCGCCCTAGTCACGGCAGCTGCAGCAGCCGCTGCAACGGCTGCTGCGGCCGCAGCTGCTCTGCCTACTCTGCAGAAACAGCGGCAGCAATAAGGCGGCTCGGTGCTGCAGTAGCGTAGCCTGCTCCAGGTATGCCGTAGAATATTAGATTATGTAAATCCAGTATATCGATTAAAGCGGCGGAGACAGGGGCTCGTACATGCTGCTCTCTGCAGAAATCCGCTGCGCCCCACATGCTCCCCTATAGATGCGTGAACCCCCGCAGCCCTCTACGAGAGTGTGGCAGAGATGGCCTTCTGCTGCTGTCTCTGCCAATATTTTCCAAAGACGATTCATATCTGTGTAAGATTTGCTCATGCGAAGCTCACTGCGAATGTAGAGGCTCAGGGAATGCAGGAACGAGCGGCCAGTCTTGTCCGTTCGTGTTGTAGCAACAGCCATGTAGTATACTATGTGCCATTGTGCTCTACTTGGTTCGGATCCCATTTAGACGTGAAGAGAAGCATTGTGGTGGCAAGCGCAACGCGTGTTTGGTGGGGCTACAGCTAATCCATTCGTACTGGCAGTAGGGTTGTGACGATAGATGTGGCGTGCTCCATATGAGGGTGGTGCATGAAGACTTGCTTTGGGCAAGTATTCATGCACTATTGTGAAGCAGACTGCACGCAAGCTGAGCTACAACAATTGTCTACACTGTTCGAGCAGAAACCAAGCGTGGGTTGTGCGTGCATGTGAATGTGCCGTGCAGCATCAGTTGCAACGCGTTGCGCTGATACAACTTATTGCAGGGCGCCTCCTCTCTCCCAGTTACCATGCTGTTGGGTTTCTGTAACCATAAGGCCTGGGGCTTGGACGGGTGGTCAGCTAGAATTGAACAATTCCTATCATAAGCCTGTTGGCTCGACTGCAGCTCGTTGGATTTGGTAGTACTGCATTGTTAGTCGGGCCAGGCGCGACGGACGAACCCCACCCAAACAGCGGGTTGGCCTGATGCATAGCATTTACTGGTGCCGAGGCTTTTTAAGAATACGAACAGGTTAGAAACGCTCTCCGGACTCATGCAAAGCCTCAGTCATTTCCTCTCCTTGCATAGTGGAGAATGGTCAGAACCTGCCCTTTGTTGGGGAGGCGACCAATTTTAAAATCTCTGTACAGCACATTTCATGGAGAACGCCTCTGCCTTCTTCATGAACCGGTTGTGCTGCGGACACATTCGTCCGGATATGACGGGTGTCGCCGCAATGGGGGGGTGGGGGTGGAGGAGCTCCGTGGTTCTCTTGAGTTTTCTTTCCATCTCCAAAATGAGCCCGAGAACATTTCGTCAGTATGAGGGGGGTTACGCCAGTGTTGGTTCTATCTGAGCAAGGGTTCCACTTCACCGGAGCGCATTCTGACTAGAGAAGCCCTCCGATACGCCCTGAGATGCACATTCGTTCCCGTGCCGGCAAGCAAGCAGGCTACAGCACAAGTGAGAAAAATCAAACATGGGGAACTACCGATAGAGCGCTACATCGGGAAGCATCAGTCCTTAGTGAACAGAAAACCAATGGCGGGCTGAACACTCGTATATCATTGCTTCTCTGCGGAGGACATTTTTGTAAACCGCTGCAGCTCCGAAGCGCAGCGGGTGTTAAGGGGTGAAAGTGCTGGCCATGGCAAGATGAGGAAGTGCATCAAAGGGGGGGAGAAAAAGCCATTTCCATCGCCCCAGCTGATAAGGAACGAATTGGGTTTAACGATGACCCGAACATAATGCCTTTTGATATTGTGGCTATGAATGCTAGCCCTGTTCATAAGAAGATGGCTGCATGTAATCGACACCAACCGAGGGGGACCGACTGAGCGGCGCATTTGCGTTGTGCAACAAGGTTGCACGACGTAGCAACCTACTTTGCAACAAACTTTTCGTTTGTCTACGAAGACAGCTAACGAAGCTGAAGGAGCAAAGATTCGGACAGCGCTGTCAGGGGAACAAAAAAAGAAATCAGGGGAACGCTACACAGCCCCTGCGACATCCCGCACATTGAAGGGTCCAGAAGAGGCGACGCCTGCAGCTCTGCCTCAAAATATCTGTGTGCTTATGCAAGCCCGTATAAATGGTCAGAAATTGCGAGTGCTACAGGATACAGGCTGCGAAGTGGGTCTGACAGCTCCAGTTACGGCGAGGAGGTGCAAGCTACCTGTCTACTCGCCGTGAATGGAGCTGTCAAACACACTTTACAGCCTGTATCCTGTAGCACTAGCAACTTCTGGCCTACCCGTAGCACAACGCAGACAGGAGACGATAACCGGGAAAACTACGGGTGTAAAACTCAAGCTCAGTTCACAAATGGATCATATTACCATGACACTGGGATTTGTGCTGTACCAGTTCTCCGCGATATAGTGTTAGGCTTGCCGTGGACGTTCCACTGGAGGGCGCGCATGAAGCCTCCACACGGCACCATTTGCGTGAAATCTGTGTTCGGGGAAGCATTGAGTGGGCGTCCTTCCGCGCTCACATTGGCATCTGTACTTCCCACGGTAAGACGAGCGGAACTATTTTCCCAAGGAGGAAGGAGCAAAGAGGTTCCTACACAGTGCAGACGTGCTACACGCGACGACGGAGAACTGCATGTAACCCGCCGTGATGATCTTCCGAAGACACCGATTTGGGGGAGTCGATCCTTTTAACACTCGGCGAAAGACAGAAACGAGTGCAACTAAAGGAAGAGTTCTCCGATGTACTAGATAATAAGGAGCAACCAGCGGGCAGGGCACCTGCTGGTAGTCAAATGCACCGCAACGAACTCATTCCCGAAGCAACCCCAAGCTTTCTTCCGAGGTACAGGCGATGCCGCATCTTCCAAAGTGAATAAAAATGCACTCAGACGAATTGCTACGAAATGACAAAATTCAACCGTCAACTACCTCATTCGGACACAATACGGTGATGGCAAGGAAACAGGAAGGGAAGTAGGGCATGGGCACCTGCGTCGACGTCAACCCCCTCGACAAACTCACGGTGGAGCAAAAGCTTCTGATGCCCCGGATCTACGAACTACTTGAACGTTTGCAGGGTCCAGCAGTGTACTCATCCTTTGACCGCTCTGACCCGCCATGCGGACGCCGCTGCAACCCTTATACACTTGCACGAGAGCCCTGAAGTTCTTTGTTTTCGCATCGTGCTACCGGAACTACATCCCGTGGCTCACTTGCATTATCCCTACTTTAACGGGTCTCTGAAGACGGAAAAACCGCATACTTGGACGGATAGCGAAGACTCAGCCGCCAGAAGAATCATCAGATGCCCGACGTCGTCTGCTGTACTCGCGATCCCTGGTTTCGACAAACGCTTCTTCCCAGCAACAGATGCCAGTGACACAGCAGTTGGGGTGATACTCTCTCAGCAAACTAAAGACTCGACGTGACAAAGATAATCGCCTGCTACTCACACCGTTCCGCGAAAAAATAGCAGAGCTTTCCAGTACGTGTGATGGAGCTGTACCCGGTTTGGTGGGGACTCAAAATCTATTAACATTTCTCGTGTGGAAGACAGTTCACGATTCAAACCGATCCATAGTCCGTGACATACCTGACAAAGGATTTCCAAGACGAGGACAATGGAAGATCTCTTGGCCGATTTGCGCAGTAGGACTTCACAGTCAGAGATACCAAGGGTATCACCAACTTGGCCGTTAATGCACTATGACAATAGCCTACCGCTCAGGCCCCTTGTTCTGCAATTGCTGTCGTCTGCAGAGCTCTCCATTTCGTTCCTAAGCTGCGTTCTTCTTACCTTTCAGACCCAAGCCCTTGCGGTTCGCTGAGGCCCTTGTAATACTCAGCGCGTAACGCACTACACCTTAGAAGGCGACCTCGTGTGGTAATCAACAAAGCGGGGACTCCTCCAATTGTACGTCCGCTGAGACGTTTCGCCCAAGGCGCACGACTGCGCTTAGCAGGCCATGGTGGGCTCAACACAACAGTGGAGAGAGTGGCTAGGTTTTTTCGGCTGCCTAGGATGCGCGGCTCGTAGCGTAGGATTCTGTCCTCACTTGCCCATAATGCCAGCCGCTATAACGGCAGAGCAGTCTGAAACCCTGGGATGCGCAGTGTATTCCGATCTTCAAATGGCTCTGAACGAATATCGTAATAAGATCATGGATCTCACGATCTTATTGCGATATTCGTCCATTAAGCAAATGCTACGATAGCATTTCCATCGTCATGGATAGACTCA